GTCGATGAGGCGCGTTAACCACCCGACCGGATCGAGTATGTGAAACCTGTCGATGATTTTCCGGTGACAAGGGACACCAGCTAATAAACTGCCACTGCGCACGCACCGTTCGATAGCTCGACTATTCAAGCCGGAATTAAATTTTTATGCTGAGGAAAAAATGGTTCGTTTCACTGAAGTAGTCATTTCCGACATAAGCATATTTTATATTATTCTAACAAAATGTAGTGATAACAACAAACATACAAAGTTATTATCATTGACACTATGGTAACATTTATTAAGAAAATAATATTGTAATTACAGCAATTATAATAAATTGTAAGATGCAATAATAGTAAAAAAAAAAAAAACGTACAAAGTTGTTATCATCGACACTGTAGTACTTATTAGAAAAACAATTTTATCCACAAGAATTATTTCACCATACGATTATAGTCACAAATACCAAACACTTTACTCAAGGTTGGAACGAAAAATACATTTCAAATCTCATCGGAGACTCTTTCTGATTTAAACCTGAATCGTCCATCAAATCTCGAATGGAACTTTCGTCGAGAAAAGAAATCGGACTACTTAATCGAAATTATTTAAAGAGTGTCACTACTGACGTGCATTCTACCGCAGACATGTGTATTTCGAATAGTAACATTGTTGAGCCTCGTTACAATTTCTACGGGCTATTGTTCTTTCGCTCCATGCAGCTGCGGCAGATTTATCCGATGAAGATACGCAATGTATACGAGGCAACGCACAATAAGCGACGCGGGGCGATTGTTTTCATTGGGAAAACCGATACCGAGGATATCCGGGTATTCCATTTTCTACGGTTGAACAATCGCGCGTTTTGTGTGAACAGTCTCGAAGATAATTTCGCATATTTATCTCTGACGTAAGAAATGTAGAGTTCTCTTCGAAAGGTCCGTCCGATGTGAATACGAGAAACCGATAGTACGCGCTCGATGTTTTACGTTACTGCATAACGGCGGACTCCTGGGGTAATTTCCAGGTGAGAAATATTATTAATTTCAGTAATAAAGCGTCGGATATAAAATTAGATCCTATCGGTCCCTGGACAAAATCCGTTCTGTTCTCAGTCCGTGAGCGTGTCACTACTAAGGAGATCTTTCGAAAATAAACCAGCGCAGTAATTACGGTAAAGTGAAAGATTGTATTAAGCTGCACTGTGTTTTCACTTAATTGCGAAAGATGTTGTTCTCGAAGTTAATTGATCGATAATATTTGTATCACGCGGCAATTAAGTATAGAACGATTAGTTATAATTGCGATCCCTGCAACGGAGTACGTTTTCCAGTAAGTCACGACTTGATTACTCTGTGGTAGATGCTATCGCTCGAAATACGCCACTGATTCTGCGAGTTCGCGTGTAAAGGCTATTCAGAAGAAACTCGATCGAAACTCGTATCGTTCGCTAGTGCTTTTCTATTAGAGGCAGCCGGCACCTTCTCGAAACTCAAGAAACGAAAGCGAACGAGCGACTGCAGGATAGTGCAAGCGCGCAAGTAGAGCGTGAAATACCGAAGGCCGCGAACATGACATTTTTGCGTACGGTACCTTCGTACGCGGATTACGCACATTCGAGTAGGAGTTACCATATGCTGCTTCTAGAGTTCGAATAATACCTGGACGGAACCACTCGTACAGAGAGAGATGATGTAAAATTCATTTCATTACGCATTGGAGTTTCTCTAGTAGATAGTTAAGCTTGGTTGCGTTAATTCAGATCAGGTTGAATCAAGTCAGGTTTAGTTACGTTATTGCAAACGTCCAAATAATCTTAATTAACCTCTTCGATTATTTCACCCTTCCTAAATTGTTTAGCAATGTTTGTAGGTTTTCTTACGGACACTTGGGTGTCATTGATAGCGCCTAATTAATTGACAGACTTGAAATTTAATAATTTTGACTCGAAATTTACTTCTAGGATTCATTTCTCAAATAGAAATTCGATGGGCTCTTAGATTCAATAATCAAGAAGTAAAATGAAACAGACTTATGAGAGCGCATCGCAAGATGATAGTACGAAATAAATAAAAAATTAGTCCCTTAAATAATTCCTTAAATTTCGTCTTACTTTCACGATATCCTCGTCTCATGCGCGCGCGAGTACAAATTGGCGTCTGTGCGAGAGAGGATCATCGTTGAATCTTCACTGTTTTGCCCGGGGGCGAAACAGGGTACTGAAACGCATCGAAAATATGGGTTTTGACGTGGAGGACGTTGAAAATAACGCCGACGAGACCGCGCCTTTACTCGCGGCTGGAATACCACCGACTCCGGCTGGCTTCCTCGCTTCCTCGAGAGAAAGGTGCTCGGGCGACCTCCTTTTTCACACCGTTCTGGACCGGCGTGCGCCATGCGCGAACGATTGATAATTGCACGCGTTACCACTGGAATTGGCCGCACGGTGTTACGAGCGGAATATCGCCTGATGCTTTATGCGTCCCACCCGCCGAGAGAAAGTCATTTCTTTCGTAGACGCGACGAACATACGGCGATCAGATTGTTCTGGTCACACAACCGCGAGCGTGCGTGGGAAACTATCGGCCACGACCGAAAGCGGAATCGCGTCTGAAGACACGGCTATGAATATAGGTGGGATAGCCAAAAACAAGAGGTTGATCAGGATCGTTCGGACGTGTGATGATACCCGACCTGACCTGACTAGCACAATGTTTCTCGTGGTTTCTTTCGTCTTTCTCGACGAATGTACATTTATTAGCGTATGAGTGTTATGTAACCTAGAAGAACGCGCGCGGGGCGTCTACCCACGTAGCGGAACAACACACTCCCTGAGAAATCTCTCTTTTCAACCGATTTTTCCCAAGCATATTTGCCATCGTGCGTGGAGGAGAAGTAACGAGCCACCCGAATACGTTCCGAATATTAAGTTTGAGAAAAGAGAAGAGGAAAAAGTAGCGTCCCGAAACCAAAGGCGATCTCTCGAAGAGACAATTTCTATTCTATAATTAAAAAAAAAAACTGTTTTTTTCTTCAACTTTTACTCAGAAAGAAACCGAAAAAACCGCGGAAAAATGAAAACCTGGGTTTTTTTCGAACCCTTTAAAACTACATTCTGCTCCCTGAATTTCTTGAATTTCCGAGAATCCCCTTTTCTCGGGCCTCTTTTCTTTTCTCCCGTACGAAGAATCCCTGATGGATCGCGCCGTCATTTTACAGTCGATGGATCCGTTTCTAAAACGTTCGGCCGGAATGCACCTGGCGAGAATCGCGAAGAAAGCAGAAAAATCGCGTGCCGTGTCCGACACGCGATCTTCCGTAATGAAAATTGCATGTACGCGCTCTCGTATGCTTGCTCGTAACCAAAAATCGTGTCAGTGGCACGCGAACCCAGGCTAAATGCGCGCGTTCAAAAATCGCGATTAATCGTAATTAATCCCCAGGAATACGCGAATTCCTCGCGTCGCTCGCATTCGTCGCCGATGACATCACGGCGTGTTAATCCGAGCCGATAATATCGAATATACAGGATAGTATCGCGGAGTGCGTTCATTCTGAGTTTGCTTCCCGAGAGACAGTAAATAATTACATAAGCGGATTATTACAATATCACGACGGTAATTAACGAATTACGTATTCGTACAATATCGTTGCGCTGGGGGGATTTGAGAAGGGCGCATTCCGGTTATTAGAAATCGTGGTATACCATTTGATGCGATTCACAGTTCGTTAGCTACGGTTTCACTCCAGAAATTTTCCGACTCGTGGACGAGACACGCTATGACGATGCCGGACGTTGATAATTGTAACGATAACGATGATAGTAATATCCCGCGGTAATCGCGATGGAAAGAGCGATGGAAAGATCGTTAATACCTTCATGCTCGTGTAAGAAACGCTTGTTCTGCATCCGCGTGACTTTACACACGACAAAAAATATTTTTTACATCAAATCGATCGCGACTATACATTGTGCGGCTGCGTGAGAAAACGCGAGGTCTAACCTGGAATCGAGTAAGAAATTTAATTCCGAGTAAAACGGTTTGGAATTATTCAATGAAATAGAGTACCAAAATTCAATTTCCCAAATTTTCCAGGACATATATCCCGCGTAATAACTAATTTTGTTCTCTCCCTTTCTCTCTCTCTCTTTCTCTACCGGAAAAAGTTTCTGCGAAAAATTTCGAAAAAAATATTGTATTAAAAATGACGACAAAAATTTGTAATGCTGGACCACATCGGAATTATAATTGAATTTATAATGTGTGTTGCAATTTTTAGTGGTGTATTTCATTGCACACATCATTAAAGGCAACAACGCACATAACGATTTCAGTTATAATTTCGGAATTATTCAGCGTTACAGATTTTTGTGATAATTTTCACAATATTTTCTCCATGTTCCACTACCACCAAGATCGTTATCTCTTACGGAAATTTCAATGAATGTACGGGCTGAAACGGCTACTGCGGAATTGTCGCGCTCTTATCGATGCATTCGCTCGGAGGTGAAATGGATTAAACAGTTACGAGTAATCACGTGTCCACATTTCCCGGCGACTGGAAGGCCGACTACATTCACCGGAACGCCGTGTCATCGACACTGCCTGCAAATATTTCAGTGCTCACGGAAATAGCGAAATGATAACTCGCCGCGCTATGAGAAAACGAATAATTGTCCGAATATCTTCGTGCCTGCAGTTTTTGCGGACAGACTTAAGAAACGTCGATGGGGCGTCGACGGCGATGATGTTACTCCCTGTCGGAGATACGGAAGATAATAGAGTCATCGGTTTATCCTAGCGAAAAACCGCCAATTCCATTAAAAGCCGTAAAACCGGACTCACGATTGACTCGTCTCGGTCTACGATAAATATTCGTAGCACGCTTATTTATTCGCGTCGCGCCGTCGCAGACGCGGTGAGATTGCGGTTTGCTTTCTTGTTAGCTTTTTCCTACGAAGCATTACCGCGTTTTGCGCTTCTTGTCCTTGAATACATTTTATATCCTGTTCCCTGATGCACAAAGGAACCGCGGTCAATCGAAGCAATGTTATGCCGACGACAAACGTACATAGCATACGCGTGTTGTTATCATTCTGCTTGGCGGCCCGCGATCGATTAATCGATATTGTTGCTTTTAGATTGTGCGGAGGTGCTTTACTCCGACCACGATTCTCGTCGTGTTGATGTTGTTAGGCGGATTCGACGGAAGCACAGCTGAACGATGGTCACGACAGGTATCCAACAGTGAGTGGATCCCGTTGACGAACCCGCGGGCCGCTTCCGGTCACGTGTCGCAGGGCAACGCTGGCCTGCTGCCTAGCGGCGCGCATCTTCCGAATCCGATTCAGTCGCTCTCGTTACCGCCTGTTCTTCAGCAACAATATCAGGACCAGTTGATACAGTTGCAGAAGACGCAGGAGAGCATTCAGAAGCTGCTATTACTGCAGCAACAGCTCAAAGCTCAGCAACAAGTTCTTCAGGTAAGGCAGATCGATCGCACTCTGATCTCGGTTGAGATAACTCTGATTAGTTAATTAATTAACGTTGAATATTAAACAACTTGTTTTACACAAACAAACAATGAAAAGAATACCAAAATTTTGCCGGAAAATTGGAGTGGTTGGCGTTTGCACTTATCGACACGTAAAATGTATTAAATAGATAAATTGAAAATTAACATAACATATGTCACATATGTGCGACTATGATAGCAAATGTGTGTACTCGATTCGAGTTATTTCGGCTGATATTTTTTCACAATGTTCTATCATATATACAAAGGCGGAATTTGTTACAAGAGAAATTTTCGAAGATGCTTAAGATCTCAATCTCATTGCTTCCGTGACGGATCTCCCGCGTGACCTGCGACCTTCTTTACGTTCAGTCCTACAAGTCGACCTCGCTTTCGTTTTCAGTCTCAGACGTTCCTACCGAGCGGCTTCAGTAGCACCGAAGACGAGAAGCAAGGGCTGTTACCGAGCTCATTGGGCAATTTGCAAACGACATCCGAACTTTTAGTTCCGCCACAGCCCTCCTCGCAGGCGCTTCCCCCCATATATCCTTCACAAAGCTTTTTGCCTCACAGACCCGGACAGGTGCCGAGTCATTATGATCAGAACCTAGAAGCTAATCGAGAACTGTCAGCCTTGCCGGTTCAAGGTCAGATCGTGCTGCAACACGGCGAAAACGTGAACGCGGAGGACCCGCGAGAAGGTCCGCACAGCTATGGGACGAAACAGGGTGGCCAAAGACCCGGGGCGAAACGTCCGAAGATACAATCGAATCCGGAACTGTCGCAACTTCCTCTGATCGAAGGCGGCGGGGATGAGGAAGAGGAGGTTAGTATAATAAAATTGCTTCGTTATGATCTTTTATCAAGTGTTACCGTTTAATTTCTACGCCGGTATCGCTATCGTTAGATTGAAAATAATTAGAGCGTGCACAGAATAAAAGATTCGTGCGTCGGCTAAACAAGACAGGAAGACGATGAATTAGTCGGGTTCGTCAGTCGAGTTTGCTATTATATATAGCGTTACATTACGTTTTAATGAATTCTGGATGTTAATCGATTCAACTCGAGCAGCATGAAATCTCTCGAATTAAAAGCGTTGAGAACCGCGAGTCCTCACGACCGCGCGATCATCTCGCAGGTGCAGCTGGTGTACGTTCCGGCGGAGACGCTGGCGCAAAGGGGTCAGCAGCCGAAAAGAGGTCGCGGAAGAAAGCCGTATCACCTTCATCATCATCATCAGCAGCAGCAGCAGCAGCGCGAGAATCAAGACGGCGTAGAGCAAGCTCCGCTCTCGGCCGATCAAGAAGCCTTCGCGCGGCAGGTGCTGCAGCAGATTCAGCAGGAACACGAAGAGAAGGCGCAATTCTTAAAGGAGGAGCGCGTGAAAGAGTTCGCCAGATTGAACGAGGAGCAGAAGGTCCTCGAGCGGAAAACGCGACTGCAGCAGGAGGCCCTTCAGAGGGAGCAAGAGTTGCTGAGGCAAAAGGAAGCCGAGAAGAAGCGAAAGGAATTGGAGAAGCTGGAAGAGATGGCGAGGCAACGAGAATTGGAGCGAATTCGCGAGGCCAGAGAGAAGCAGAGGCAAGAGGAGCTCGAACGACGGCGACTCGCCGAGCTCCGCGCCAAAGAGGAGAAACGCCGCGAGGAGGAGGCGAAGCAACGCGAGGAGCAGGAACAAGCGCGTCGCCAACAACTCGCAGACGGCACGAGACCCAAGAGGATTCGCGGTAGACAACGTCAGCGAGTCAACCAATACCAAGAACAACCCAATTATCCCGAGTCCACGACCACTCCGTCTCCCAATCAGCCTCCTCTGTCGGTTTATATGGGCAGTTCCACGTCCAATCTGGAAACAATCAAGGTCACCGACGTTCTGAGGATCTTAAGGGACGCGAAGACCATCGCCGTGTTGGACAACGTCGGTCCCAACACACCACGCGTCTTCGTTGGTCCGTCCAATTTGGATCCCCCTTACGGATATGCCAAGTTCGACCTCCCCTACTTGTCGTCGATCGACCACAACAGGGTTGAGCGCAAAGTGGATAAGCTACCTTTCTTCGTAGCTCCGTTGAGCTTCGATCCGCCCGCGGGTTATTCCAAGATCCCCTTCCCGGCGCCGCATATCGGCTCTGTCGTCGTCAACACGTTATCGGAAACATCCCCGGAACCATTGCCAATTGAACCGAACCCCAGCCCGACGCCATTGATCGAACCGAATTCTTACAGCGACGCTGACCAAATCGCCGGTTCCGTCGCAACCACTGCGTCTTATGAGTCACCGACTACTCAGAGTTACAGTCCGGAATCCAGCGGTCCTAAGTATGAGTCCAGTTATTCGACACCAGCTTCGGGGTCGAGGTTCAGGTTTAGACAGTATTATGACAACAAGCCAACTTCCGTGGCCGGTTCGTCATATTACAGCGAACAGTCTACAACGAAGACGAAGCCGAGGACGAAGCAATACTATGAGGAGGAATCCAAACCGACCACTCAGTCACCCAAGATTGATACTACGGCCAGTTTTAGGCAGGAGGTATTTTACTCCAACGCACCTAATTTCCAAGACAGAACTGTAGGTTCGCACGATCCCGCCACGAAAGAGCAAGACTTGGCGGCTCAATTGGCGCTCATCAATCAAGAGCTCGCCGAGCAAAGGGAGCCGCAGAAATACAACACCGCCGAACAGTATCGTCCTCAGGCTAACTTGGCTGAGGCGTACGATGTTAATGACGTCAGAGCGCCCGTTGGATCTGCACAATACAATTTACCGGTGGAATTACCACCGATATCACCGCACCTGCCCGGCCTGGTGAACTCCTTGTTGGACAAGCAAGAGGGAAATCTCCCCGTCACTTCGACGCCGCCACCGACGACCACTACGACACCGTTAACGACGACGACCACTCGCGTGAGCTCCACGACTTACAGGTCACGAGGCAGGTGAGTGGAATAGAACGCGATTGTGTGTTGTAATTGATTCTATAATTACTCGGCACCTTCTTCACGATTTTATTACTTTATTTCGAAACATTTAATCTTCTGCCTTTTCCGTGTAATAATTGTGTATGTGTGTGTGTGCAGAAGATTATTTATTCAGTATTCTTCCTTGTAAAAATATTCAAAATGAATATAGTCATTAGCAATTCAATCATTTTTATATTTTATACTCGAGGTAATAGGTGTCACAATATGCTAAAAGACGTGAAAGTATTTTATTATCCGACACCAATACCTGAGGATTATAGGATATTGATAATAATTTTCCGATTTTACCATGCTAAATGTTGTCATGTAAAATTTTATCATTTTAAATGTCAGCGTGATGTTAATGTATCGGAAAAATACGTTTAATCACGTATAGAAGCAGAATCGTACCTACGAGAGCCAGAACCACTCCTGCGTCTACTAACAGAACGAGCACGCACACGGATAGACCTCGTAGACCATATAACAGATCAAAATCGAGATTCTCGACCACTACAGAGGATTATCACGAATCCTCTTACGAACCGATGAAAGCGAAAATACCGGAAACCACGCAGAAATATAAGACGGCAGAACATAAGAGACCAACGTCTAGGACACACAAGTACAGGAGTCGAGATAGAACGAGTTCTCAATCTACGGTATAATAATGACATTTTAATTCTTCTCATTTATTCCGTAGACTTGGGTGTACCCAGGATTTCAGTCAAAATTTCAATCAAGATTTCAGTCAGGAGGGAGGAAAATTTGTTTTCACATGAAACTTCTTAGCATACTCACATTAAAGTCAGTCTTCAAGAGTCTCCAATGAATTTTCTTAATACTTCTTAATTTTTAATTCGCTCAATTCTTAGAAATCAAGAAAAGCCAATAAGAGCCAAGCACGGCTGTTAAGTACAAATATATTTTTAATTTGAGAGGATAAATATGCTCGACAGTGATGACGCACGCCCCGAGATTCCGTCAGACTTTCAATGTACGCGGAGAATTTTCTTTCCACGTCGAACCGATCCTTTTATCCTGATTCCCTTTTTTGGCGTTTAAAAATCCCTTTCCCTAAATATCCACTATGAAATTAATTAATTAATGCATTTCAATCGATTCCTAGAATGTTACGAAAAATAGTGCCTCAGTCAGGGATCAAATCTGGATTTCCTCACTTGCCGGGCAAGATGCCTTACAAATTCGGCCACCGAGGCTTCGACAGTATTCCTCGCAACATAGATGCTTATAAATATTAATTTGAAAGTAAATAGATATACAATCAAATATTAAAATAGAGAAAGGTCAGAAAGAGCCAAGCACGGCTGTTAAGTGCGAATATATTTATAATATTTGATTGTATATCATGAGGGTCCAATACAATATGATCTGTTTATTTCACGTGACGGAAAAAAACTTCTATTTATTTTCGAATTAATATTTATAAGCGTCTATGTTATGAGCCAAGGAAATATGTCAGGCATGTTTCATAGCTAGAAAGAAAACCTTAGCTTTTTTTAAAATTTCTGCTAGTTCTAATTCTTCCTTCTTTTGTAATTTTTTATCTTTCCAGAAAATATACCATAGTTCGACTTGATTGTAAAATTTATTCAAATTATAATAATCAGAAAAATTGATTATTATTGCCAAAATTTATGGGGGAGAGGGGGGGGGGAGATATTCAAGTGATTCCTCTATCTCCCTTATATACGCCTATGTTTATAGATATGCATATGAGGAAAGCTGGAAATTATGCATCCTAAATGTAACTTGAGCTAATAATTCCCCTTAATTTCGAAACTAAAATAACACACTATTTTTATTTTGTAAATTTAGAAATATTAAAACTCGAGACTAAAAAAAAGAAAAAAATTGACTGCCAACTTTCACTATTCACTCACTTATATCTCGCAAACTCATCTAGATTCACGAGAGAAACCCGAATGTTCAGACTCACCAAGCAGCCGCCTACGAGAATTATCCGACGCAGAGCGACACGCAAAGCGATTCACAGGTTAATGTATCCCCGGACGCGTACTCGCTGACGAACGGACCGACCTCCAATCTTCAGCATAAGGAGATCTCGTCGCACGGGACAGTGAGCGATTTCACTCATGAGACTTATCTGTCGACGACACCCACGCAAACCGAAAACTATCCACCGTTGCGTCAAGTGACAGCCCAACATAGCGCGGCTTTGGTGTCCGACGATTACTCTAGAAGTCAGAATTATCCGCAACCCCGGCCTCAGGAAGCGCCCTTCCATGGCGGTTTCGAGCAACTTGAGAAGACCCCCGTGAACGGATTCAATTATCAAGTTGGGAACGAGGAGTCGCCAGACCAAGCAATTCCCCAAAGACCCAAGGAATATCCACGTTACCAGGTCAAGTTGGAGGACGCCAACTATAATCCAGCGAATACGGAGGATCCGCAAATAAGACCTGGCGAGGAACAACAATATTCGCCGGTTTACGAAGTTAATGTAGCGCAACCTCAGCCTCAAGATTATAACCCCGACGGGCAGAATCTTATCCGCGACCAGATCTTACAGTCCGAAGACGGTAAGATCGAAAGCACCGCGGTGAAGGCCGATCCGAATGTCCCGCCGATTTTCGTCCCGCTTCAGCACAACAAGCAGGAAGACTATGAACTGCGTATCCCCTCTACGCAGACACCGCTTATTGAAGTAAATATCTCTATATATTCTATTATAACTCTTTAGGAAAATTAAAATCTAAGATCTTTAGATCTAAAATATCTCTTTAGATCTAAACAATCTAAAAAATAAATTTATGTAACTCTCACAGTATAAAACATTTTATGCTAAAATTGATCCTTGTTAAAATTTTTGTATTAAATTTTTAACATACCCGTATGTTAATTTAATATATTGCGTTTATATCATCTCAATCTTTTTTATTGAGTCAATATTCAACATGCGTAAGGATTAAAATAACACTTAACGCTTGTAAATATTAAAATAATATATTTTATACTTCAGTGTTGACTAGTATATCATAGATATTGATTTTGTGTTAATTTTTTATATATTTTATTATGTATAATATTTATATTACTTCTCAACATATTTATCTAGTGTTAAATTAATACAAAAATTCATATGAAATATAGCAAATTTAGCACAAATTTTTTTACTGTGCTGAAATGTATTCTTTTTACTTGATATTTTCATTATAGATGAATTTTTTCCAACGACACGTTTGATCGACCATCTAAACATTTTTAATTTTTCACGTTGTAACGTTCGAGTTACTTTGCCGCGAAATACCTAGTAGTTTTTTTCTTTCCTACAAATAGCAATGATCGATTCTTTACAGATCACTACGACTAGCACGACCACCCCGGCGCCGGTGATAATACGTCAGCGAGTGCGAACTCGGCTGGGCAGTCGCGGTCACCACGACTCCGCGATTCAGACGCGACCGCGAGGTTCCCAAGACGAGTACGTTCGTTTCAGCGCCGTGAATCACGATTCCAGCCGCGGCACAGGTCACAAGCTACGTGAAGGATCGAGAACGAGAACGCGCGTACGTCCGCAGAGTCACGGGTCGCAGGTGCAGACCGAGGGCAACGAATACATCAAGATACAGGCCGCGCAGCAGCAGAGATTGGTCGCCACCACGACACCCACGACTACAACCACCGTCGCGACTACAAGCGTGCACCCGTTGGAAGAAGACATCGATTACGGATTCATAAGACCACCCAGCTTCCAGCCGGTGAATCCAATTCCGGTGCACCCGGCGGACAACCGATTCCAGGCGCCTATCACATACAGACCTCCTTTGTCCGAGGTAGGCGATACGTGAGAAAACGTCTCCGATATCACGCGAATTCATCATTTTCCGTCGATTTCCGCAGATACAGCACATCATCTCCAATGACGAGGCGGCGGTAGAGTCGAGTCCCGCTCATGTTCTGAAGAATCGACCGAAATATCAGCAGACTCCGAGTCGTCGGCCCGCCACGAAAACATTCGTGACTACGACGACGAGTACGACGACGGAAGCCGTACCTGTCGCGACGACGATACCGGACGACACAGTGTACACGACGAAGCCGAAAGCGAGACCGGAGGAGTTAAGAACGACGAGAGTGCGCGGACGGGTTCGCCGACCGGGTAAGAAACGCATCACGACCACCACGGAATCCGTGATCGAGGCGAACAACGAGCTACCGTTGGACGAGAACTATCCCCGAATCCCGTCGCAGCAGCTCGTCACGGTCACGGAGACCGGACAGCAGACTCTCTACGAAGACGACTTCGACCCGTCGCAATACGTACCGAACCGGCCGGTTCAGCTTTATGAGGAGACAACCGGCGAGAACGTAAGTAAATGCTTTTCTTTAGTAAACACGCGCGACTGAAGAGAAATATGTGTGTTGTGATTTTGATATTATATGATTAATTACTTGTATCTCATGTATACTTGCAGTATCCGCCTCAAGAGTTTGTCCTAAATTTTGACAACCTACCGGAGCAAGTGTCGCAACGGGAGAAATACGATCAGACTCAACTGGCCGGCGGCTCGTCGAAGAAGTACAGCCACTCAAGTCTTGTGAATCCAACGGAAGACGAGAGCGTGCACCCCACGGGCGATATTTACGGTGCCGAAAGCCAGTGGTCCACTAAGCTGTCCAAGACATCGTTCCAGCCGAGCTTTGTCTCGAACCACGCAGCCAACGGCGCGAAGAGAGGCCGTGGCAAGACTCGCGACGATCGGAACGACGAGAACGCGCCCGAGATTATCACGGCCGGACCGGACGTGTCTTTCGTGACGATGGTCGTTTCGTCTGATTATCAGAAGCACGCGGACAGTGCCGACGATGTGGACGCGATGGTGGACGCTGACGTCTTCGGACGAAAGATGAACGTGCAAGAACGCAGGGAAAACGCCGCGACGGCTGAAACGAACCCGCGGATTACGACTCTTCGGAATGTGATTCGAAATGAGGAAGACGCGTCGTCGGAGATGCGAAATTGGGTGAGAGGCAAAGAGAGGAACATCGTGAAGCAGACGGACGATGACGCAGAGGCGAAGAAAGTCACGGATCCCCTTCCCGCTAAAAAAGTAAATATCATTTTTCAATAAAACACTAATATATGAAAATAAAACAATTATATAAAGTGGCCTAAAGTGATTAGATTTGTTTTCATAAGCTGATTTTAATACTTTCCTGACAAATTAAAATCTTTTCCAGATCAAAATCAGATTCAACTGCTCAAAAACTACAAATAAACATACAGTTTTGCTACTTCGGGTTAAAATCGGCTCATTTTATCTATCGTTCTTTTAATGAATTTCGCATTCTGCAAGATCCGATGCTGCTTTGGGCTAAATCGGTAGAACCTAATTCCGAAGGAAGATTTTACAAGCAGATAATAAGAAATGAACAAATTCTTTTTCCAGGGAGGAGCTCGCAGAAGAAGAGTCCGCGTGCGAGTGAGGCCCGCTATGGACGATTTCGTTACCGCCGAATCGCAACACTTCAACTCCGCGATGAACAGCTTGGTTCAAGATCGATACAAGTACAATCCGATTCGCGAGTCGAAATTCACCACCGCTCAGCCGATCGCGACAACCATCACCACTACAACAGCCGCACCGACTACACAAAAATCCTTGCTACAAGATTTCCTTGAGGAGATGCTGAAGAACGATAAAGACTCTAATCCGACATATACCACGTCCGTCACTACCGAATTCCCCGTTTGGACGATGTCAACGCCGATGACGACGATCTACACTTCGAATAATGATGAGACCACGACTATAAAGGAGAATCCCACTCCGATTATCACGACGCTGACACCAAACGCTGATAACGATCGCGCCACGACGACGAGTGAAAATTCAGACGAATCGAAAAACGAAGCCGATCAAGCGACATCGTTTTCCCCTGAACAAATCTACCAGTTGTCGCAAGAAGAAATGAATGATTCGGCAGAAGAAAAATCGAGTACCGAGTACCGAGTAAAGATTTCCCAAGAAGACAAGATTGAACGCAATAGCCTGGAGAACGTCGGCATAATTGTACAGAGATACAAACTGCCGTCGAACTACCCTGGCTTGGAAACGTTGAAGGAAACAGAAGACAGCACAACGGGACTTCCGACTGCGCGAGACAAAGGGAAGGAGCACGTAATGACGTTGAAGAGGCCGGAGGAGAATGTCGAGGAGAACGAGGCGCATCCTAAGAATCACAGGGCCAAGTGGAGCGAGGTGAGATACCCATCGGCCTTCGACAAGTCACAATCCGCGCTGAAACAGCACTCCACTACGTCCATTCCGGGTTTTACTACGCGAAACGACGGCGAGAGCAGCGTTAAGACCCTCTCGGACTACGTGGCCGCGATCTTCGACAGCATGAAGAGTGGCGACAGCCGAGGGGAGGAGGAAGAGCAGGTCGCGAAGGTAGTCGAGGCGAAAAACGAGACTCCCGCGGAGAACTCTTACAGATTCAACGATATCGCCTCGGTGCGCGAGATAAATTCGAAGGAGATCGAAAAGAGCACCCCGAACACCGTTACGACCACCGAGTTTTTGCGAGACGCTCGTACAACTCAGCGAGTCGACCCCGAAGAGAACACGACGAGTCTCCCGGAAGCGCAGAGCACCACCGATACAACGACGAAGGAGAGCGTGACGACTCTCGACAGCACCACACCGATCCTGGACTCCACTGTGAACACGATCACGCCATCCGAGGAGACAACGACGACGAAGACCGCTACGTCCACCGAGAAGACGATCACGTCGCTCGGCCGGGTCGTAAACAACGTGGATCGAGAGAATTCGACGATGGCGATGCTGGGCAAAGTTCTGAGAACTTCGACCACCACCAGGGTGTCTCACATGACGGAGATCTGCTACAGAGGTCGATGCGTGATGACGAAACCGAAAATGGAGGACGCCACGAGATGAGGGAGAACCGGAACTAACGCGCGACACAGCGATGTCGAAAGTGCCGTGGAAGAAATTGAACAACGGGCCATGCGATCCAACGAACGAAATCTCGCTGAGTGAAGATTGATTTTTGGAAATTGATTTTTGGAAATTGATTTTCGCGTCGTTCGAATCGAATTTTCTCAATCAGAATCCGGTCGTGTCCGCGAATCTAATTAATAAAAGCCACCAAAATTGCAAACGTTTAATTGCGCGCGTATCTGATCGCAGAGAATAGGGAAATATCACTTTTGCGCCGTAAAAGATATCGATATTTCGCTTGAAATACCCAAACCGGTCGTGATTCAGAACGGTAAAGCGCTTTTCGCTTAGCACACGTCGTACTTACATATAAACACAAGTTTGATCAATTTGTTCTCCGGGCACTATCGTTTAGAGAAGGGTTGTTTTATCACGGCTGGATAATGAATTGTTCAAGGTGACGTCACTGCGAAATTACATGTGCTTCGGAGGGTTAAGGGCAAAATATCCACGTGATATTAACCGTGGAAGGAAGGGTTGTCCCCTTCCGGCAAGGAGGGTTCCGCGTCGTTGGCGGCAAATCGATCGTCCCGGCGCGTGCTTATATAAAAAGGACGCCCGAGAGTGTATGTGCCGGCGCCCTTTCCAAGCGAGATCGAAGTACGGAGGCTCGCGTTCCGCCAGCGCGAACGTAACGCGTAAATATAAACCGCGTGTGCATCGTGTCGCTTTCGAGTAATAGAGAGCTAAGTCTATTTAATTTAATACACCGCCCCGTGTAGTATACGTGTAAGTTAAGCGTGTAAGTATTTTAATAAAGATTTACGAGGGAGCGCAAGTTAATCGTGTGACATTTTTTTCAGCCTTTCCTAATTCCCAGGAGAGAGTGTCTCAGTTTTTCCGGACGATTCGTCGAAGACAATGGAAGAAAACAAGTTTTGCTGGAACGATAAATTGTTAATGTAGTGGTAAGGAAAAGATTTGTCACCCGAAAAGAATAACTTTGCTGTTGTAGCAAAATGCCGTTGCGACAGCAATAAAATTTAATTGGTATAACCAAGTTATTTTGCTGTTCATACATCCAGCAAATAGCAATTAGTATTCTTAACAAATTTTTCTGCTGTCCAAAAAAATTGTTTTGCTGTTACTATGTTAACGAACAATTTGCTGTTCTAACAAAATTGATTTTCTCCGTGTTCAACCCTTATATTATCCTCAAGTGGTTGTAGGTACACTACAAAAAAGATCGGCTGAAACAACTCGATTCGAGCTAAACAAACTAGATTTCGAGGTTGCACGAATCACCCACCCTGATTCTTTCAGCAAAATTTTGCCGTAAAACTATTCATCTGACTTGATTCTTTATTTAATTTGGTTCAATTGTAGTTTGTGCAACAAAATCTAATAAAATTAAAGCTTAAAGAAATAAAAATTAAAAAAGTAATTAAATAACCCTGAAATTTGAAACTTTTTATAAAAATATTGACTCTGTGTGATTAGGTGTGTAAGATATCCAAAAGTTTGTCTGGAAATCCCTCTCGCGCAGGATAACAAGTGATTCGCGGTTCCCGTACGTTCGAATCCCTCCGCGCGAACGGCGTAGTATCCTAGTAACTTTCCCGCTATCCCCGAGAGCACGCTTTATCGCGCGCTCCGTCACCGAACGAAAACCACCCTCTTTCACCCCACAATCGATCGGCATTGGTAGAAGTCTGCTCGTACAGATGGTGCCACGTGACGGCGGGATGACATTCGCACCGGAAGTGCGGCAGGGGATGCTCGAAGGGCGGCGAGGGACGCGGGTACACCAACCGATATATGTCGTGATCGCGCGTGCGGCGGCGGCGGTGGTGGTGGTGGACGAACGAACGAACGAATGGTTGAGGGTGAGGAGGGCGCAAGGATTGACCGAGAAGGACGTTGAGCGAGAGAGGAGTCGTTAGTTCAGTTGAGGCGCAAGAGTCCTCCGGCTAAGGACTACCGTCCCTGCCAGTCCGGGACATTATGCCAGGCGGCGAGGGGTCTTCGATCAATCTCCTCGATCGTCATCACCATCGCACGTCCGCCGCCGCCAGCACCGCCACCGGCTCCGCCGCCGCCGCCGCCGCCACCGCCGCCGACGAGTGCGCGAACGATGACGATGTCGGTACGACCGCGGCAGCATCGACGACCGGCGCGACTCTCGGCAGCGGCGGCAACGCGATGACGAGCGCCTTAGCGGGCGACGGTCTCCGCCGCAGGAAGGTCATACACGCGGCCAAAGAGACTCTCGACAAGGGTGAGTGCTCCAAGAAGGGGTGCCCCTTCTGTGTTCTCTCGTTTATACACGCTGTGACACCGCATATCCGCGTTCCTCGCAGCCGATCGTTACGAAACGTCGCGCAATATCACCCTCACGGTCGGTCGCGTGCCCGTTTGGGATCTGGGTAAGTCCGGTACTAGCCCCGAGTACGCGACCCCCTATCTGTCGGCTGGAGCGCGCACGGATCAGCTCTCTCGCAAGGGAGCCGCGAGATCGATCCCGCTTGCCCGACACGATATCGCCTTTCGTATCCTCGCGTTCGTCTTTGCGCTGCGTCATTGCACCGTTCGACGATGTAACCACGAAATAACGGGCGATTAATAATTGTCAATTTGCCGATTCCGTGTCCAGTCGGCCGGAAGCCTACTCCTCCTGCTCTCCCCTCCCCCCCCTTCTTACTCTCTCTCTCTCTCTCTCTCTCTCTCTCGAGCAATAGTCGATCGCGCCGTGGTACGCATGTCGCCTTTGGTATCGCGATCACTGACCGAGGGACGAACATCGCGGGATGTTGTCCTTGTTTTGCGCCTTATAGATCGAATCCTGCTCCGGATGGAAGTTCCGCTGGAGAAAAAAGAAACGGTATCGTTGCGCGTGTCCTGATTTTATCCGCATGCTCGTAAACGTGTCACTGCTGATCACTGCACGTAAACACCGATTCGATCGGGTTTCGCGCGGTTATTTTCGTGCTTTCCATTTATGAACGTTATCGCGAGATGCATTCGATATGCGGGAGGTGTCCTGTGCCAACGTATTGCCTCCCTTTCCCTACGAATATATTGAGGCTCATAAATAATATGTAAACGGAGGCCCCGTGAATTCGTTGCGATTTGTGACAGCTTGATCTAGATAAATTACAAATGGCGAGTGATGAATATCTCCGCCAAAGAGAGCCGATTCGGATATCGTTCTAACATTCTGATCGTCTAATATCTTAAGTTCAGTTAAGTTCGTGGGGAAAACAATCACCGAAAATCAAATTCGCCCGATGCCGCGGATTCAGTATATGTAAAATTTATCGATGCAGGGAAATGAAAACTTTCTACTCGCTCGTACACGAATATTTTGCATATATCGATAAATAATTTACAGAACCTACACGGATATTTTATGTAACTTCAATAGAATGTGAAAATATGTAAACAAATTGTTTTATAACTTCGTGTTTCTTTATAAGGATCGAGTCAATGTGCAATAACTCGAGATAACATGAGGATAATACGTAGAGTAGTACGTAGAATTAAGCTCACGTGCCTGCACGGCAATTTAATTTAAGAGACAAAGATATTTTAGATAGCTATTTATATTCAATTAAAACATGGTTATTAATAGCAATTGACGTTATTTTTGCCTCTTTAATGAAATGGGTAAAAAAATAACAGGTTGGCGAGAGCCAATGTAGGTTGAACGAAGTGGGTGGAGTTTAATTCTGTTTAACAATCGTCCCCAATACTGCAAAAGCTTTATATCGTTATGATGACCAAACGTTTCTGCAATATTTTTGAAGATGATAATTAAAAAGAAATTTCGCTCGCGCAACGTTCAATCTATGTCGGTTCTCATTAATTTGTCACTTTTTCATTCGATTGGAAACTTGGATTTGGAAGAATCTTAAATCATCATTGATCAAATTGAATATTCGCGACTTGCGCACTTCGTGACGTCATTCGTGCTGTCAAATGTGTTGTAAATATAAAAAGGGAACAACTACGGCGAATGCAAGTTTTGAAAGAACTCGAGAGCAACTGTCGGTGCTCTCAGAGAGCGCAGCTCGTCTAAGATACATAAAGCGACGAGAAACGCTTATGGTTTGTTAACATCGGTCCCAATCGCGCTGCTCGGATACTCGACCTGTTTTGTGTCACATCGCAATTGTGCATTAAATCGAGCGGAGACGAGGAGCACCGTGCATTATCCGTATCGATGTTAAGCTTAGTATTATCGCCGTTGACTCAGATCGACACCGAGACGAGGAATCATCGATTGTGCATTGTCACGATTTTAATGCAAATTTCAACGAACATCGTTCTCCTAATTACGTTATTTTCTTTTTATATTAAAAACGCAAAAAAAATTCGTGAAATTATTTGTATCGTTTCATTTTGATATAGTTGAACGCCGATTGAAAGAAACTCTATCGATTTTACACTCTTCCACTTCGGAAAAAGTCTATTCCGGATGGAAGTCCATTAAGTCGACTGTCGATGGAGATAAGTGCGAAGAATCTCCCCCGCTTTGTGTACATACCGATATAATCAGTATTTTTAGACACGTATATAAGAGCTTCGTAAATGTCACAATCATCACGTAAGAAAATATTTTATCCGAGAACTCTTGCCGCGCCACTGATCGTGTTAAAGCGAGTGCTTGCGACTTCCGCGAGGGAAGCGCTCGCGATCCTCTCATTCGTAACGATCGTGTCCGTAATTTACGTGTTTTGTGCCGCGCGAGATGTAGATAGTGGGCACACTCTTAGCACACCTTGTTCGGCAGTCGTGTATAGCTACGTGCGCCTGTGTGTGTATATATATGCGCGCTGTTGTGACGTAAGAGAGATTCCCGCTCCCTTCTTGCTCTCACCTCCCCGAAAATGAGATGCGGCGCGGTAACATTTCGGTGACGACGGTTCATCCGAAGGGATTCGGTATTCCGAGGACCTTCCGAGGCAGCTTAACCGCGACGCGTGTGTTCCAGATCGTTTTGGAGATCGATTTTCGAATTATCTTTCCTTCCGTTACAGATTGGACCTCGAGCCTGTTATCGAGAAAATAAACTTGTGCACGATGCAACATTGAGCGATGTTTGTTCGAAATAGCGTGTTAAAGGTGTGAATTTCTCGCGACGGCTCTCACGACTTGTTAATAAGTGAATTAGTACCGCGTAAAACGGCATACTCGACTGATAATCAAAGCGTCACAATTTTATCTCGGCTTTATATTGATAGAAGATTGCCTTCGGCGCCAAACATATTTTATAATAGAAACAACATACATATAAAGCACTCTGACACTATAGTAACACTTAGTAGAAAAGTGGTTCTTCTAACTATTCTTTTGCGTTCTTAAAAGGTATGTTTAGCGCCGCAATTAACTATAATTTTCTATCAGTGTGGACTCTTCTCCCCGATGCTGAAATTTTTGGCTGAGACAGAAGGAATGTGCATTTTTCACCATCGCGATTCCTTCGAGTTTGAGACTTCGCAGACGATAAATGGGTACCCACGTTCACCTACGCCGGATATTTTTAGATCCGATCGGAATAATTGCACGTACTTTATCTTGTCCCAAGGGATTTTTAGTCATTACACGTTCTCGTGTGTATGTGTGTGATTAATGGCCGTGCCATTTGAGCGCCCGCATAATTTACCGCATGAATTACGTTTTACATATGTTTGGAGAAGCCGATTAAGGGCCAAACCCTACGTCCTCGATTAACTTTAAACACAGTTTAATTGTTTCTCCGTCTTCCTCTCTCCGGAAACAGAACAAGAGACAATCAAACTTTGCGATTCAACGACGGAGATGTCGACCATAAACTTATGAAACATTATTCGCGTATGAAAATATTTTAATTATATCATTATGGATTCACAATTACAATTATTTTACGCGATTTCTAAAAGTCCTTAAAAAAAAAATAAAAAAACATGTTAAGTCATGGAAAACGTGTAAAATTTACATAACCGATATATTTCTCAGATAGCCAGCACGAAGAAAAGAAATCGATATCTTTGTTCATTTAAAAATACATACAGACACGGGTCTCCTTTTACCGTAACGGTAGATTTGTAAAATTTTTAACACATTTTATCGAAGAGAATGGCTATTTCAAGCATTTCGCCGATTAATATTGCATCACGAATAAATTTATTCTTTCATTAATGAAGTCGATTTATGACAGAGCGAAGATAATTAGAAAATCGATTTTTAAAATGGTTACGCGCCCACGCGCCAAACTTGAGGGCGAACTGTCAAACTATAGAAACTATAGAAAATAGGACCCTGCCCCGATGAGCTTGATCTTGACAGTCATATGATTATGAGTGACGTTCAAAAGACTTTAGACATCATTCATTGTTTGTTAGAGAGAGTTATCAATAAAAGGTATTGGATAAAAATTATATATTATACACAAACGTGTGAGCTGGGAAAGAACAGATTTTCTATCCCCATAAAATCTAATCGTATCTAACTCGACTCGATCTAATTTGATAAATTTTGTTTCTTAATAAATATTCTAGTAATATCATACATGAGTGTTATTAAGAAAGCACAAACTGTGAATACAAGTGAATACAACTGTGAATACAAGTATTCACTGAAGAGGTAAAATTTTTTCTTTTTGGCGCAACTATTCGAATCGAAATTTTGCTTCTACATTAACGCTTCAAATTCCGTTGAACTTGAAGAACCAATAGAAAAAATCTCGAGATATATATAATAAAGCTATACAAGCTGTCGTCCTATTTTTCAATAAACAGTATGTTAACTTTGTAATTTAATTAGCAGATACGAGCAATAAGCAAATATTAAATAATTAAAATATGTATAATTAATAGGATCAAGTATAATTAAATATCAAACTTACTCTGTCCATATTTTCTTTAGATTTTTTCATTAATGCTGGAAATTTCAGTGGGATTTAAAGATTTAAAAGCGATAAAAATGAAACAACCACTGACACCTACACTAATACTTGAGTATATACGATTTGATTTGATCAGAGGAACATACGTGAATGAACACGATGTCGACTGAATATTTCAGTTGGCGAAATATTTCAATCACCCGACGGAATGTATAAACACGGAGTGTGTAACAACGCCGATATATGTAATACATGTACTACGTGTCGCGGTGTACGTCGTTCGCCGACTCGAGACGCGATAATTCTGTCGCGGGAAAGTCTACGACATATGAGAGTCGAAACAACCGGCAAAAAGGGCAGCCAATTTCCATTGTTTGCGAACGAATAACATGTCTAATCGGCAGCCAAGAAACCACGACATCCAACGCTCTCGAAATATTACGCAAATCAAATTTATCAACGCCGTCTATTCGCTTCTGTTTAAAAAGTTATTAGATCGCTAAATTTTATCGAAATCTCCAACACTAATAAAAAAAGATGATAACTGATCATGTGAAAGAGGAGAAAATCTGTTGTTTTATTTCACTATTAATTTTATTATTTATGTCTATATTAATTATTTAATATTCGCTTGTCGTACATATTTGATCTGAAGTTAAGTAAGTTATCTCAATTAATTAAATTAATTATTTAATCATTAATTATTGTAATTATTCCGATAATTAACATATTGTTTACTTATTGTTAACACTTAGTTAACAAGTTTACATATTGTTTACATATTGTTAACATATTACATATACATTACTTAAGTTCAAAATGAAAATAAAATGTAGATGGAATATTGAAGTAATATATAAAATATTAAATACTTTTGAAACAAATGATTATTTAAACCTCAACGTTGGAAAAAACGACAGTGAGTGACATGTTTGCAATATCAAATATCAACAGTCTGTATAACGTTATTATGTCTCGAAATTCTTTAATAGTCCTTCGAGTTCGACAGAATTTGCAGAGTTAATGCAAAACTAAAATTTTGACTTGAATATGCGGCATAAAAAATTAAATCCATTTTAAACATTAGCATTTCTCGCTGCAATGTGACAGTGTAACAACAGATAAACATAGGTAAATTTTTTTTCTTCACAGCATCCCGTCTATTGAGACGAAAAATACCATGTACAGGCCACTTAATGACCCCCCGCCGCCTATGGATACAAAAGGTTCCTACTCAGGTACGTATTTCTTTATGTCTCATAATTAATGGTCTCTGTCAGTGGTTCCTAATCGAGAAAGTGATGATTTTACAATACATGCAACAAAGTAAGTCGAAAAAATATATGCATACATATATAAATGCCTTTATCTGTCTACCTTTAAAGAGAAAACTTTGTAAATGCAACAGGTGCCATATATTATATCAAAGGAATCCACATATTACGCACGACACGCAGACTAATTATTTTCATACTAACGTTCGTTTCCACATCATTTATATTGCCGCGTGCTTCTGTATACCAACGGAGATTGTTGAAGCGTATATTCCACAGATATTTCACGAATTAAAACATATATTTATCAAATATTTTAATGTTTTAATAAATGTTAGCTTTTTTACTGACCATAGCCGTCGTTTTATCATATTTTCGTTTGTAACTACCTTCCTTTCCTCCATCGATAAACCTTCGACACCTAATGCTGGCACTTTATCATCAGCATACATTGGGTAGTATCCTAATAGTTCGGTATAAAATTTGGCATTGCCAAGAAAAAAAAAAGAATACGTGCAACAATTTCGCGATAACACGAATGATATCAGGCTGACCTAGCGACGCGCTTAACTATTTGGGCACAAAGCCAAGTGTTTGATACTATTAACATTTCACGAAACGTAAGATCATCATTTCTCAAGTAAACGGACCGATGCGAGTCAGTTGTAATTTGCGTCTCATGCATATATTTCACTACGTAAAGCGCGCAACGGGATGTTTAATAATTCGATTTCTCCTAGGAATGCGACGTAGTCATGATGTTCCCCAGCGGAGCGAGCGACGAGACCCTGATGTGGTTGTTAGGACGGCTTCGGGCTGGAACCCCGGGGCTAACAGTTCACGTGCGACATCACACCTCATCGGATAGTTACGGGTTTTACATTACGGCGCCATTTAGCGTGTAAGTGTTCGATTCTCTCCGAGCTAATATTTGACATTTTCACTCTTTCTTTTTTGTCTTATTATTAATTACGTTTATTTCTTCGCGCGACGACCGTCCGCGTTTGATTTTTCCATCTGTATCTCGTTCCGAGAGAATATTATCCTAGAGCATAATAAACCGGTAGATATTGTATTGCATTCTATCCTTTAATCTATTCTAATATTCACGATCGTGTGAACTTTGATCGCATGTAAAATCTAAGGGCGGATAGTTATTCTGACCCCGTTTGGGCTCGTAGTCTGTTGAAAGCCGCAGAGGAGGTGCATCTACCTAAGGCATTACGACAGGAATTCGGCGGTGGTCTGAAGGAATTCGTTGGGTCCGAGGCTAACTGTTTCGAGGGTAGCGACGACGAAATCCGATTTTTCACCACTCAAGAGAGGCAATCCCTAGTGATGCATCTACTTCACACGTTGAGAGCCGGTCCGCATGATCTACAAAGTCTGCCGGGTTTTAAGTTGGTGGAAGGTCAAGCGATTATCCCAAAGTGCATTTCGTCCGGTATTATTTCTCAGGTGTAGTATATGGGGTGGCGCACGATCTTGTCTTGATCGATCTTAATTTCAACGATGGATTCCCCGAGTAGATTTCATACGAGCAAAATTCTCAAAGCACCTCGTAATTTTCAACTTACAGAACAACTAATATAGCTAAGTAAATATATTGAAATATATTTCTCGGTAATTCTCTAAAGTGTGGATTCAACTTTTACCTGAAATTTTATTTGAAATATTGCCAAGAAAATCAACCTGTTTAAAGAGTCTATCGTTAAAATTACGGTTGAGTCTATGTTGAGGCTTCTCTCGACGGAGAAAAAGATTCGTGACGCGATCGATCGTGCTTTCGTCAGGTCTTCCCTCTACACGAATTACCCGCGCTAGAAAAACTGCAACGAACTTGGGTCCGCGCTTTCCTCAGTCCTCAGCCTTTGGACGACATTTGTAAATACTTCGGGGTGAAAATCACTATGTATTTTGCCTGGCTCGGCCACTACACCACCGCTTTGATAGTTCCAGCTGCAGTGGGTGTCATATACTGGGTATGTACATACGTATTCTTTATTCTTCCGTGCATCGATCGAATTATATTACGAATATCTTCTACTAAATTTTTAAACAGAAGGCCGGAATGAAAATAGATATTAGCACAGTATGATCACACAAGTACACAGAAAAAAGAACTTAATTTTTGTAATAGAATAGGAACAAGATGAAAACTCGATAACAAGAAGCGGTATCTTTGTTATTGGGACTGAGAATATTCATGTAAATATTTAGCTGTCTTAAAACTCGATTGAGATAACTGAGAACAATTAATTCCTGTAGAAACCATCTACAGGAATCTTTCTGTTCCTACAACCGAATTTTCGTCTGGTCCTCAGGCAACAGAAAATTCAATTATATCAACGGAATTGTTTTCTCCGTGTACCGAGGCACCTACTCTACGTATCGTTTATTTATATATTTGCCTTCATTTATTTAATTACTTTCTAAAAACTGATTGCCCTATTTTTATTTATTTAAATAAAAAATTTCAAAAATTTGAAAAGAAAATGTTGTCTGAAAAAAATAATGGTACAAAAATAATTTAGTGGCAAAAATAAAAAAAAAATTCGAACATAGAATTGATTTTTATCTGGCGGAATATTCCTATACTCGAAGATAAAAAAAATGTTAACAACTACCGAATCGACCGTCCAGGTCGGCATCATCGGCAGGAACCAAGCGGTGGAGGACGTGGCGTATGTCCTGTTTTCGGTGTTCAACGTAATTTGGGCTACAGTATACTTGGAGACGTGGAAAAGGAGAGGCGCGGAATTGGCGTACAGGTGGGGCACTTTGGATCAGAGGGACGATCTATTGGTCGAGCCTAGACCTCTCTTTACAGTAAGAACCTTTCCGACACTTTCTACGCCTTAGCGTTCCGACGTTGACATGGTAACATAGTAGTGTGTGCTACTACTACGACACGATAAGTATAGTTATGCTTCTGCTATATCGCTGTAATAATTGAGGATATAAAATACCACGTGAAGAGCTCTCGACAAATGATAATCTATTTTTATCGGAACTATTTTATTCGAAACACGATTGACACAATCATGATGCTACTGTGTTCAGGGAACTCTAGAGATTTCACCGGTGACGGGTAGATTGGAACCGACTTACCCCAGGTGGCGGAGAAACATGTTTCGATATTTTGTCAGCGTGCCTATCATCGCGATCTGTTTACTCTTCGTCTTCATCGTTATGATTCTAAGCTTCCAGATACAGGTACGACGAATCAAAGTCGTGCGACTTTTGCAAAATGCACCGTATATTAGTGACTAGTTAAGAAATACTTGAGACAATTATTTGGAATTCGATTCGAAGCTTTATCTACGATCCAAGCGGCAAACAATCATACGGTTCACTTTGCATCTCTACGAAAAAGCCTTTCCTTAGAAGCTGAAGACTGCTACGCTAGAATTCGTACCGATAGATTATTTCGCGCGAACAAATTCCAGGATTGGTGGGACGCGCATCTCGAATCTGGAGGCTACGGGTTCTGGCTTAGTTACGTGCCAAAGGTGTTACTCGCGGTAGTGATCGCGTTGATGGATGAAGCGTACTTCAAGGTTGCGGTGTGGTTGAATGATTTGGGTATGTATTTCGATAAAAAAAGAAAAAAATTGATGTCCTACACTATTTTAATATTGCCATCCCTCCTTCTTTCTCTCTCTCTTTCTCTTTCTCGCTCTCCCCTTTCCTTTCTCTCTGTCCCTCTCTCCTCCATCTTTCCTTCACCTATCTATCTATCTCTTTCAACAAGATCATATTTCTGTGCGATTCGAAATACAAATGATTCGCCATTTGCCGACTTCTTCGCATCGGTTTGTGTATTTCACGGTACACTATGCACGTCTAGTTTGAGAGCCTAGCATATATACTTTCGATAACTTTTCCCACGGCTTAGCTTCTTTTAGATACTAATTGAAGGACTATGTAAGGAGAACGTTATACTTTCTACATAAGGGACTTTCTTACTAAGCGAATGTTGTTCTGTTATTTGTGTGACTAAACCCGTGAGATACCATAGATACCGTTTTTATCCTTATTCACATCTCGGTGAGCGTTTATGGTGCGGTAGATAGTATTTGTGATTTTTGTGTGTTGGACGCAGAAAACTATCGACTAGACACCGAGTACGAGAATCATCTGATCTACAAGGTGGCACTGGTAATGAGATATCTTCATTTTCAATGAATAGGATATCAGTGTTATGTTAGACGTTATACTTACGTCCTCCTCTAATTAATAATAACAATATTATAATAAATCAAACCTCCGCAAAAGGGAGGATTGTAAAAATTTTTTTATTATTACAATAATAAAAACGACACTTCTTCGTCGCCAGGTCTATGTAAGAAATCTCATCTGTTAGCAAATATTTAAAATTACAACTTTCACTTGAAGATAACCACTTATATATTTAGAGGTGGACGCTTGCAGAAAGAAATACAATATAGATCTTACGCTTTTTGTTTTGACGTGAAAGTGCCTGCTCTGGCTGTCTCTGTCGCTGCATGAACATTCTATTCGCGAGAGAAACACTTTTCGCTTAATGATGTCATATTTCAGTAGGCCTTCATATTTACGCTTTTACATACATTGTTCTAACGCGCGATTACAGAATATAATTTACAACGGCCACCCTATATTTCAGTTTCAGTTTGTAAACTCCTTCCTATCGCTGTTTTACATCGCCTTTTATCTTCAAGATCAAGAGAGACTTAAGGAGGTGAGAATTTACTTATTAAAAGAGGAAACTGAGATAAAATGTCTGTGAAACAGATAAAGCGATGTTGGCTCGATTTGTAACTTACCATTGAACTTGATATTTTGATATCTGCGCCATGAAACGCCGTGTGACTCTGAAGAGAGAAAGTTTACTTCATACCGTGCGGCGCAAAGAGTCCAAAAATCGCGGAAGAAGAACCAAGTGCATTGGGATTTTTTCGTTTCAGCAACTGGCGGCTCTGCTCATAGCTCGCCAAGTAATCGGTAATCTGAAGGAATCAGCGGTACCATATTTGATCGAACAGCTGCGTCTGGCGCGTTTGAGCTTCGAACTGTTCGGGGCCCTGAGTCCCAGCGAGGCGAGGCCGGCACCTGGTCAGGAGGGCGAAGAGGTTCCACGCGACAAGGACAAGGAGGAGGAGAAGGACGAACGGTCCACCGACAGCGGCAAGTCGAAGCAACGAAACGTCAGCCAAGCAGAACTGGAGAGTTCCCTCTACAGAGTAGGGCATCCCACTAATTCTCTACTTAGTGACGTTGCGTTCAAGGTTCGGTCTAGATTTAGCCAATTGTGTTTATGTTCTCTCCGAGAGCACATCCATTCCCCCCTCAAACACGCATCACACGCACACGGGCGCGTATATCACCTCGAAGCACTCGCAACCGACATGTACATATATGCGCTTAAAGATATCTATGTCAAGTCGATAAATTCACCTCCTTCGAACTTCTTCCCCTCTGAGACACTTTTGAAGATTTGCGAATCGACGTTGCGAGTGGATTGGACGCTTCGCTCCATAAATCGATTCATTTTGTGCCTTGCCTCTCAGGTGTTTTTACGTTCGACTGCGCTGTATCAGCACGAAGGCTTAGCCGAATCGATAGTAATGTTAATGTTGTATATTGTGTTTCTTCGTCGTTTCTTTTTGCAGAATTTTAATCATTTTTTTCCCGTTTTACACCGATCCCATCGACGACGCGCAGGTATCAGCCAAAAAGGTAACGTTGTACTCATCCTATCATTAAATATCGATTCTTTCCGTCACGAATAATTGCGATGCGTCTCACACGAATATTGCTGGTTACACGAGAACAGTAATATCACGATAGAGATATGACCGTCATATTCCCGGTAAAAAAAATGAAATTTTGCTAAATGTATATTTAGACTAAAAATAATAATTGATTAACATTGCCGTGGAAAAGAATCTATTTAGATCTTTTGTGAATTTTATTAGCATAAAAAACATTGTGAACACAGCAAATAAAGTGACTGGAAGGAACATATATTAATCTCATGGCTTATCATGCGTCATTTGTCCCGAATTTTATCGATCCATATTCCGCTAAATTTTTAATTTTTTCAATGTTTGGCACAGTCTATACCTAAGATGTGGTACGAAACGTAGCATATCGATTATCCAAAGACACACGACAAGCACTGAACATGTATAGGCAATTTTATGTTCGCATTGTGTTAGTCTGACACGTTCTCATTATATAGTTGATAATAATGCTAAGTCGATATTTTTTATCATCTAGTTCGCTACAACTATCATTAGGTTGGTATATCTTCAGAGAACAGAACTGGCAAATTACGAATTTTAATGAATATTAAATTGAATAACAAATAAAGATGCAGGTTTAAATAATGCAAACATATTTTTTTCCAAAAATACGAATAAAAATATTATATTATCTGTCGAATAAACTAAACAAGTAATTTTTTATTCGCAGTACGACGGGGCGTTTTCGGAACACCTAGAGATGTTATCGCAACTAGGATACGTTTGTCTCTTTTCGTCGGCATTTCCATTAGCTGCGATGGCAGCTTTGCTTGGGAATTTGCTCGAATTACGCGGCGATGCGTTCAAACTATGTTTCGTGCTTCAACGACCTTTCGGGCGCAGAGTTTCGAACATTGGAACGTGGCAAGTAAGTGAAAAAATTAATTCGATCCTCGGCACACACACTAAAAGATGTGAATGATCAATTCAAATTTTCATTCTTTGATAGAACGCTATGGAGACGATGGGCCTGGTCGCTATTTTAGTGAACTGTGCTCTAATTGGACTGAGTGGGCAGGTGCAACGAATGTTTCCGGAGATGTCGGCAACGCAAACGATCCTGTTGATTGTAGCTTTGGAGCACATAATGTTCGCTATCCGATTTGTTATTATCTGCGCGATTCCCGACATACCTCATTGGGTCGCTACCGAAATGGCTAAAGTGGAATTCTTAAGACGCGAAGCGGTCCGAAGATTGTCCTCGACACCGTCACCGGAGCAGCAACCAGCAACAGTAATAGGTATATTATTTATCCTTATAACGTGTTGAAATCATTGAATATTCCCTCAACTAGCGAATAATAAATTGTTTTAGATAGCGAATGAGAAATATAACGTTCGTCTGATTTTTCTTTCGTTAGAACTTGATAAAACATTTAAATTGAATTTAAATTAAAATTCGTTACCTATTCGTATTTTTAAGATTTAAGGGTTCAGCGTATTTTCTATCGGTTAAAAAATTTCTCGTATATAATTATATATAATTATATAAGGGTGATTCATTTTAATTTTAACAGGTAAATATTTCGAAAAATATAATAAGATATGGGAAAATGTTTCAGATAAGAGTTGTAGGATTTGAAGGGGGACATAAGACCGTTTAAAAAAAAAACTATGTGATTCAATTAAAAAAAACGAAGTTGACTGTATTATGTACATATAATTATATATTTTTATATATGGACATATTCAAAACGTGAATTATATACGAACAATTTTTTAACGGGTAGGATTTTTTGGATCGACTAATTTCACCATCAAATATAAATACAATATTATTCTTCATGGTTTCTTTTGATGAAAAACGGATGAAAATCGCAATATCCTATTTTCATCTATCTCAATTTAATATTTAATCTTTAATATTTAATCAATTTAATATTTATTCTTAATTATGAGTTTTTTTTCGCCTTCCTCCCTCTCTCTCCTCCTTTCTTTTTTCTCACTTTCCCGTTCTTCAAATGAATACGAAGATTCACCGTCCATAGGACAGTCCGTTCCACAAACGCGCAATGGTCTTTATTCACTTTACTTAACCCGTCGATTACATCCTACCTCCTACCAGCTATTAATTTCGCTCGAACTCAGGGAGATTCGTGGTGAGTCCAGCAGACGGAGAGAACGAAGAGCAGCATTTGCTCACGGACCGTACCGGCTACGCGACCACAAGTCAAGCGGAGCCCGCGACTCTGGCTTCGACCACTCACACGCCCAGTGGCCCGACAACGCCCAGCGCCGCGTCGGTACCGAGGATCGCGGAAACACCACCGACGGCCGAATCGCCAGGCGGTAGCGGCGGAAGCAGCAGCGAGACCAGCAGCCCGTTCCTACCCGAAGGCAATTCCAATACGACCCGGGACATCCGTAACTCCCCGAGATGCTCCATACCCGGAGGTGAACGAGGTTGGATTTCGTTTCTTTCTAATCCTCGGCGACTATTTTTGACTTCTCCAAAAAATCCACAATAGTAAGATTCTTTTGCATGATTTTAACGTGTTTTAAAAATGGTGCGGTCCAATTTGAAATAAGGATGTGTATCTTTTTCATAAATATTCAATTGCGAATTTTTTCGGTGATACATCTCTTAAGAGGAAATACCTAAAGAATTTACACAAATTCCACCTCATAGAAAGTTCGATAAAAATTCATGATAGTTGTTTCGAGAAGAATTGACCGATTGTACAAGTAACCGCTTCGCTTTGCGCTGACGAGATTTTTTCAGTAGGGAGGCGCTCGAGGGAGTGGTTAAGTAATGAACCAGAAGCATCCGGTGGGACTGATCAATACAGCCATCATCTAACCATCGGACCACATGGTGGCGTCGACTGGGTGCGTCGATTGGGTTTGGAGCCCGGTGGTCGAAAATCTAGCGATTCCGAGATCAGTGGTGCTACTAACATGAGCGGAAGGGAAGAGGAATTAACGTTGCACAGGTCTACGGACTGTATCGTGTCCAAAGAGCTAGCCTCTTCTTCAGACAGCGATCTTCTCAGGTAGGGGGAGAGGAAGAAAATTTCTTTACGTTCGATCATCTTTTATCAAGATGAAGATGCTATAAAGATGAAAGAGAACGAGTGTCCTCGAGTTCCTTATTTTTATATCTTCCGTATTAACCGTCATTTTCTATGTTCGAAGGTCGGCACCGCCGTGGTCGGTAGCTCACAGGAGTCAAAAGTTCCGCTTCTCACCGGAGAAGGAGAGGGAGCGCGAGAAGGCGGAGAAACAACAGCAGCAATACCGGGATCATCACCGGGATCATCATCATCATCAACGGGAGACGCACGATTATCGCGAGCGGCAGTCTTACCTTGCCGAAAAGGAAAGGGAGAAGGAGAGGGAGAGAGAGAGAGAGAGGGAGAAGGAGAGGGAGAAAGAGAAGGATTCGAGCGGTCTATCGGATTCCAGCAAAACGATTTCCAGCCAAGAGGAGGATAAACCGACGAAGGAGGAGCGCGAGGCGAAGAAAACGCGCGTCAAGCAGAGCCTGATGAAGCGGGCGCGTTCGGTTGCGATTTTCTCGCTGAAGCTGAAAGAACGTCGTGCCCGGGAGGCCGAGCTGAAGGCCAAAGAGGCAGAGAGAGAGGCCAGGTGGCAACAACCACAGTCCTGCGTCGGCGGCGAACTTTCGTGCATACCCATAGAAAAGCTTATCTCCGTGGACGACATCGCGGCCATGGAGTCAATGCGCCGGCTGAATCATTAGCCGCTTGATTGACAACTTGTCTGTCTCTCTCTCTCTCTCTCTCTCTCTTGCACTTTTGATTTTTTTCGCTACGTAGACAACTGGATGTTCGCGATATCGCGTACGATCGGTGCGAATGATGCTGGAGTACCGCGAGAAACCCGATCGCGAACGGACAAGAGAAAAGGCACACAACTTATACGAATCGTCACCGGCGGGATGTCTTAGGCAAAACATTCCGTAGGAATTGTTTCCTCCGTCGAGAGAGACGTCTTTGACGACCATTCCCCAATACGGTTCGGTTCAGGAACAGAGCGGAAACGGGACACTCCCGAAGAATCTACGCGAGTAACGAAGATGAGAATTTCCACGGTAACTTCACGACTTAAAATACCCACAGAACGCGATTCCTGTTGTTCTTGAAACAGCACGGATGAAACCTTATCGAGAGACTGTCGACTCAAAAGGGAAAGAATCCACGGGAAAACACATCACGTTGCGATTACGATCGTTCTAAAGAATAAATATCGACGAAATTATCGTATCGTTGCATTAAATACGTAAATTTTCTCCGAGGCGCGTGATGTTCCGAACCGAAAGTACCATACTAATTGCCACGATTCTAATTTCGCTTCGAATCGATGCCCCAACACTAAGTGGCATAATTTCCTACCGCATAGGTCACTTGCTCGATCACACCGTAGATAATTGAGTCGTAATTATCCCGCCCGTGCCGTCAGTAATTGTAACTGTACACCGAAAAAAGTAAATCACTCTCGGCTGAATCTGTAACGCGCACGCATTATTATGTGTGGCTCGTCGCGGAGAGAAAAAAAACAGTTGAAACGCTCGTTAGCCGCGAAATCTTCCCGGAGAGACAGTTGGGAAGCTTGTAAAGTACCATTAGACCGCTCGCTGGGGTAGCAAACGCCGGCGCGGAGAATCCAACGAAGAGAACACGGGGGAGGAGGAGGGACTTTGTTGTTGTTGCTGCGGTAATAAATTGTTAATTAATACTATAAAACTCTAGGTGTTAATGGTTTAACGAATTTTTGCTAAATAGATCTCTCACACGAGGTGTAACACGTTGTCGAGACCACCGCCTCCAAAAAGCCTCGTGTCCCTGTTACAAATCGTTCCCCTTCCGCGGGGAATGACGACACGCGGAAGTCGCACCGTTATACGTGATAAAAAGTTTGCCACGCGACACGTTTCGTCGACGAAGAGATAGAGAGTCGATTAGAGTGCACACACATACACACATACACACACACACACACACACACACACGATACTCTTCGTCCAGAAGTGAATAAAAGGAATCTAGAGGTCATTTTTGTATATAGTGAAAAGTGTTACGCAGAGATTGTAAAATCGGTTTTCATGGCCTAGCCTCATGTCCCCGTCCGCGGCTGAACTTTAGCGCAGAGTTGTTAAGTACATACAGACACGACATATATACATGCATACACACATGTATACGCACGCACGCATACACGCACGAACACACATACACATACGACAAATTTGATTACATTTATCGAGTATTGTTAGCGGTTAGTACTTACAATTAGATGCATCCACATTGAGCACCGTTGAACAAGTCGATAATCGCGTTGTACCGTAGAGTGCCCTTCGGGAACTTGCAGAGATTCGAGTGCAGTAGACGCGAAATCGATAGATTAGCCGCTTTCGCAAAAAGGCAGGTCGAAATCAATTCGGCGGGAAGCATCTGTGTTTGTTAGATGTTTTGTATAAAACAGGAGAACTGAGCCAATAAAACATTCTACGAAAGACCGCGCGATCCTCTGATTTACTTCTCCCCGTTCGGCGTTTGAAAAATTCATCCGGATAACGTGGACGTTTCATTCATATTTTCGATCGTCAAGAAGTATAGCTCTTTAACGAAGTAGCGGTATATGTTTGGTTTAAGATTCTCACCTCGGATTTTGATAAAAGTATGCCGAATCGACTCGTTTCTATGCGTATAGAAGAGGACGTCGAAAATTTAACCCGCCACTCATCAGTAGTACCAACTTTTAGATTAGATTACAGCCAAGTGCTGCCAAGGACAAGCTTCATTTAAAGCCCGTATCAGACTGCGGATTGAATTGAAATTCGACCAATCAGTGCAAAGTTTACTAAATTTCACTAAACTTAAGTTCAGTTAACTTTGTATTGATTGGCCAAATTCAATTCAATCTCAATCGGTTATTGCGAGCGATTAAATGGAACGCACCCGAGAACGGCTACTACACGTTATTTCCGCTAATAGATTCAATGCACTCTTCTTTCACACTGATGTAAATAGTTTAGCTAAATAGAATACATTTCTACCTCTATTCCAGCCGAAGTTGCAGTGCAGCTAAAACGAACAAATCTTTAAAGTGTCATATTTCTGACTCATGTATGTTATGGTCGAATCTATATCGCGACGTATTCTATGATCGTTCGATAGCAATGACGACAGTTGCCTTTATATCAACTTAATTGTACGAAATAGTTTCTTTTTTTTTAAGCGGACGACTGTTCAGTCGTCCCGTAGTTAACAGATTACACATCCACTCACAATGGTGAGAAGTGTTGTGTGTATTGTGAATTGTGTTTCTCGTTCTTTCGCCCGCATAGTTGCCTTCTTATCGATTTTAGAGGTTACATATGTCGTCTTCAGGATTTGAAAAGCAATGTTTACGTCAAGTAGTTTCTAATTTTTCGGTATTAATCTTAAGACATCTCGATAACGCTTTATATTTTTTTTTTATTATTTCAATATAAGGTAACACATAACTCTAAGTTAATTTACAAAGTCGCGATCCTGCGAGATTTTTGTATTTTTTTAAAACACCTCTTTGTAGTCTGTTGCAGAATTTTTGGAAGGTCTCCCTTCTCACAACGAGAACAACTTTGCAAATTTTCATACTGACAATGGAAATCGGACATGCGTCAAGAGACCATCTGTATATCTTCCTACTAAGGATTATCCTTCAGAACAAAGTAAGTGCTTATTGTAGAATAATTATTATATTTTATATAAATGTTGTAGCTAATTAATCTTGTATTTGTAGTTATAGTTACTGAGAAAACCACCATCTTATTGAGGTACCTTCACCAACAATGGGATAAGAAGGTAGGCAGTACATCAGATGCAGTAATTTTATTTAGTAATCAGGTATCACTAATTGCTTTTATATATCCATTGACTGTTATATATTTTTTTATTGCAAACATGCAATATATCTTTCAGAATGCAGATAGAAAAAGAGAATTTTTGTCTACTAATGGCGATTCACAAGATGATGGATCCACAGTACGTAGTAAAAGGCCACGACTCGATCTGAACAATTCCCTTTAAAATACCTCACATTTTTTCGTATGAATGTATATTCTTGAATAATCAACATTTGTATGCGATCTAAATCAATTATTCGGGAAAACGTTATTCATGGCACAAGATTACATTGGACAAATATATGAAAGTAAAGCATACCATTTCAAAGAATAATTTTAATTATTTTCTATTAATATCATTTTTATATACAATGTTCATATATTTCATTGTAATGTACAAAGTATGAATGTGCAAGTTTATGATCATAAATATCCATGTTCGTATGAACCGTGTTCCATACATTGCCTACTTAAATCAATATTGGCAATGTAGCGAAAACATTCTTTTTTTTGTATTGTGATAATTTTATTTACATTATTTTTTTGTCATGCAATTGTATTCATATTGTAGAAAATTTGTTTAGTATTATGTAAGGATTTTAATTGAAATCGATCTTAATTAATATACTTACGTTTATATTATATGCTTTTGCTTGTATAAGAATTATTTATTATTAAAAAACGCAAAATTAAATTTATGATGAGTAACTTATGTGCTTTCTACAAAACACATTCTTACCATATAAGGTATATGTTTCATCATTTATCTCGTTTGTAAGATGTTTTTATATAAAGAATTTTTTATATAATCGCTGTTGAGTGTACTTACATAATTTGGTATATTTATTAAATTATTCTTTCTCCCTCTCTCTCTCTCTCTCGTAAATTTTATAAGTATATATTACATATAAATCCAAATGAATTCCCAATGCTTAAAAACAATATCGACAATACTGCGTTAATAAGCGTAAGGATGTCTTCACAAAATTCAACATTTTATCAAAATGATTTGTACCATGATCAAACAGTTTATATCAAAATATATAATTAAGACCATGTCACACAAAGATGTAAGCAGTAAGCACATTGACCACAATCTCAATTAATTATTCTTCTCCTCTCTTTCTCTCCTTACAGTCCAAGAATAATTAACTGTGATTAATCAATTTGCTTCCTGAGATTACAATGGTATCGATTTTTTTAGTAATATTATATATAAGATACGTCAAAATAAAAGAACTTTAATGTTCAGTACATGATTTAGATATAGGCAAAATTATTATTTTAAGCATTCCACCCTGTATATATTTAAGTAAATATTATAAGTCAAATACGGTCACACATATAGTCTAGCTTCAAAGCTATGTATATATCTTTCTTACGGCTCTTTGTAGCAGTAAGTTCGTGGGATCTCTAAGAGCTCAGTGATAAGCATGGATCTTTGCCATGATCATTGTATAAATGCACGAAACGATACTATAGTAAAATCAGAAAATGACAATAGGTTATATAGAGGCTTAGTACTCTCTAATGAAATGAAAGTGCTTCTAATAAGTGATCCATCGGCCAATATGAGTGCGGTTGCATTAGATGTTAATATCGGTAATTTTTATCACATTATTTTTTTTTTTTACGTTAAGGTTAATACATTTTAAATACCTCAGTGTTTATTAATTAATATTAATATTTTCCATGTTTTATCGGCTTTATGTTATACTAATTATTACTATAATTGTTTGTCCACTTCATCAAAAGTAACGGACATATTTCAAATCGAAAAGTCAAGCAACTGATCTTATGTAGTCGTTTCAGTCGTTGATAGATAGTACATCATTGCAGGTACTATGTTCGATCCATATGATTTACTAGGATTGGCAAATTTATGTAGACATATATTACTCTTTGAGAGGGTAGAATATTTCAATAACCAAAGTTTCTACGAATATTTACGCAACAATCAAGGCTATGCTGATACATCGATAAATTTGGATAACACTGTCTACAAATTTGAAATTATATCGGATAAATTAGAAGACGCTTTAGAGCGTTTCGCCAAAATCATACGAAAGCCTATTTTCACGGAATATATATTAAAGAGGGCATTGAACATTATAGATTTAGAATACCATATAGATTTAGCGAATGATGAACGACGGTATAATCAAGTAGTTCAGTCGGTCGCGAAATATAATCATCCTTTTAGCAGATTCCAACAAGGAAATTTAGGCAATAAGGAATCGTTGGAAGTAATACCAAAAAAAAAGGGCATCAATGTTATTCGCAGGCTGCACCAATTTTACACCACATATTATTCCTCTAATGTTATGTCATTGTGTATCCTTGGTCAAGGTAAGAAGATTATATTTACTTACACACAGTATCATTTGATACCAAATTATTTACCGATGATCCGTATGTAAATATTGAATACGAAGCATTCCTATCCACTCAAAATATCACAATAACTCCCAGTGGGATATAATATATAATGAGCATTAAAATACTACGCGATTTTTATGTTTAGGAGATTTAGATAATCTTGAAAAGATGGTTGTAAATTTCTTCAACGATATACCGAACTACAAAGTTAAAATTCCACAATGGTCTTATCCGTTCCCGACGCAGAAGATTCTTAAAATAAATATAGTTCCAATAAAATATATGCGAAAACTGATGTTAATATTTCGCATACCCGATCTACACATGCATTATCAGTTTAAGGTAATAACTCGTTTTATAGTTCCGATGTTATATAAGAATATTATATTTTAATTGAAGAATATATAATAGCACTATTTATTTTTCTATGTAGCCTATGTATTACATTTCTCATTTGCTGGAATGTGAAGGAAAAGGGTCGTTGTTATCGGTTTTAAAGATTAAGGATTGGGCTAGCTCTCTCATGTGTGAAGAACGCTATAGTACCAAACCTCTCAACTTGTTTATTATCAATATCGAGCTAAGTAGGAATGGTTTCTTACATGTCAACGATGTCATTTATCTAGTGTTTCAATATTTCAAGATGTTGAAGGAAAAAGGTCCGGTTGAGTGGATCTACCAAGTAATTAATATAATAAAGTACAATTTTGTATAGATAATATTCTGGTAATCGTGGTACAGCAATGATTTTATGTTAATACTGAATGAATAAAAAAAGTATATTTAGAAGTGAATTTTTTTTCGCCAATATAGTTTTCTATAAAGAGACTTTTATGAAAGGAACAAACGCCTCTCTTTGATTACGATTAAAATGTTTGCTTCGATTAAAATATGTAGAGTTTTTTAACTATTTGCTATGATTGTAGGAATATCAGGAGTTCGCGGAGAAAAATTTCCGTTTCCTGGAGAAATCTTCACCTATTTCATATGTAACTTCAAATGCTCGAGCATTGCAAATATATCCAATGAACGATGTTCTATGCGCAGAAAGTATTTTCAGTCCAACATGGGAGCCATCGTTAATCAATAAGTTATTAAAACAAGTTTTAATCCCTTTAAATATGCAAATTCATTTAATTGCGAAAGAAAATGAAAGTACCAAAAATTTAACCGAATCTTGGTACGGCGCCAAATACAATATGGACTATATAGCGAGAGAATTGGTTAGAAAATGGTATAAGATTGATGTTAATCCGGAATTTCATTTGCCCTTGAAGAATAAATTTAAAGTGACAAGTTTCGATATCAAGAAGGCCGATAACGTAATTATAAAGAATAATCGTTACTATACTAATATTACGTAAAAAATATATCTGCTAACATCACAATATACCTGAAAAAAAGACTCGGTACATTGCAAAAAAACCTAGCAAACACCAATTAGCAGTAACATAACATCAATATTATAATTTCTCATTCAACAATGTAAATATAATACGTATGTTATGTAACAGTTACATTGTTGAGTAAGAAGTTATAACATTGACATTATGTTACCGTTTATGTTTGCTGGGAAAATAAATTAAATACGTGGAATAAGTTTTCTATTAGTTATCCTTTTCGTGAAATTATCGAGATTATGTTTGCACATTATAAATGTATGTTGCCGCACGTGTTAATTTCGATTAATTAATTTCGATTGTAGTTAACAACAAATCCGATAGTTGTATATTGCACACAGTTCACGAAAACATGGCTTAAACAAAATATCGATGTGCCAAAGGCTAAAATGATTTTTTATTTTGTTAGGTATGTAATATAAATTTATATATTTCATCCGGTTAATTGTATTTAAGTGGATAATCGCGTATAATTAATATTGTTGCTATTATACAATATAATTATTTCTTGCATTTATAATCTGTAGGTTACTCACCTATACGGATGTAATGAATTGTGTCTTAACCGCTGTATTTGTTGAGTTGCTTCGTGACTCTGTCAGTGAACATTTACACGCAGCTAAAGTGGCCGGCTTAGAAACAAAGTTTACAAGTCGCGACAATGGAATGGCAGTGAGTAAAATAATTATAATGAAAGAAATAATGAAAATAATGGTAATGAAAATAATGGTAATGAAAAGCGTACAAAAGTTTATTATTTTTAGATAGAATTGAGTGTTATGAAAGTCCGACTTTATTCAATTTGTTATTTTAATAATGTTAATCATATCTATTATATTTTTAAGATTTTTAATAGTAATACTAAATATCACGTATATTATTTAATACGAAAATTTTATAATCCGCATAATCTATTATTAATCTTATTCATCGTTTTGAATACGTAAAAGTATAAAAAATGAATGCGCTATCTTCAAAAAAGTTTTGCTTACTTTCCCCTTTTCTCTTCAACTCAACGTAAAAAGATATGAAAGAAAAAGATATGAAAGATATCGAGCAATATAATGTGTAAATTGAAAAACACTAATGTGTAGTTCAAAAGTAATAATAATCGCTTCATTAGCTTACATTGGATGGCTATGACGAGAAACAGTTTATGCTATTAAACAAAATTATGATTAGCATGACAAACTTTAAGGTCGACCCACAAAAGTTGGAGATGTTTAAAGAAACTGTACGTACAATGTTATATCAAAATTTAGATGAAACTAATTGACAGATATGCACATTATATATTTATACTTGTTTGTACAGTATAGTTGGAGCTTACAAAATATCGATAGTCTTCAACCGCATAAGCGAGCAATTCATACGCTTGAATATTTGTTAAAGGAACAAATCTGGGCAATAAATGATTTAGTGGAGATGCTTGATTGTAAGTGTGTACAAAAGAAAATTTATTAGAAGACAATGCCATTTATATTACGTGCTAAAACGATCGAAAAACATTTTTATCTTCTTTCCTGTTTCTGTCGATATTGCCGCGTTGATATGAACTTTTTGATCAATTTGATAGTTAAAGGGTTGAATAATTAAAATTACGTGATGATATTACGCAGACTTAACAGTTGACAGAATGGTGAAGTTTATATCGGATTTCCTCATTACGATACACGTAAAGTGCCTAATAGTAGGTAATGTAAACGTGGAAGAAGCAATAAATATATCTCAAATGATCGAGACACGATTACCAAGAGTACCTTATATAAAGCACGAGTCAGCGTTATATCCATTAATACCTCATCGTCATTTAAACACCAGTAAGTCATATCCAAACTAGAATTTTCATAAAGTCTTATAAATGTTTTTAGTTGTGTAACTGAGCATTTTCTAAGAAAAATATAATACACGATGTGATATATAATGATAGCAAGTTATCGTCTGTGTTGCTTTAATTGCAGATTCATGTAGCTCATATGAAGTAAGCAAATCATTACACAATGCCTCATGTACATTGATTTATTATCATAGTGATATACAGTCAAATTCGGGTATATTGTTATATCTCTTAGTACAAATCAGTTCAGGACTTTGTGAAAAAACTTTAAAATTCAGGGAACAATTAGGCCATATAGTGATCATTGATGTACATAAGGTAAACGGAATGCAAGGCTTGAAAATTTTAATTGAAGGTAACAAACATGAGCTACATTATGTTACAGAACGAATTTATGCATTCATGGATTTGGTGGAAGTAAGGCTACTATTAAATTATATATTAACATATAACAACAATATCTTAATAACCTTCTGTCGCAATACCTTGTGTTGTTTAAATTATTATAACTGCATTTCAGAAATATATAGAAACAATGACTGATGAATATCTTGAAATGTACAAGAAAATATTGCACCAGTCATATTTCAATTTATCAGAATTTAGATGCTCTCAGTTCGCGAAATATTGCGATCAAATTCTCACAGAGCAATATTATGTTAAGCAAGAATATGATGAATTCACGTGCCTAAGCAATATCACAACAAAGAAATTACTTAAGTTTTATAAGGTAATTCTTATTACATGAGTAACTTAAAAATGTAGAATAAACGTTGATATGTGTGTGTGTGTGTGTGTGTGCACACTCAAAGATTAATTTTTCTCTCAAAGATTAGATTTTCTAAGAAGAAGTAACTTAAAAAATGAATAATAAGCCGTGTATCTCAACAAATTCCTTGTATTTATATTTTCCTGTTAAAAAAGGGGCAAAGAAAATATACATTATTATTAAAAAGTCAAAATACATATCGAGACGTTTATGGTCTTTACGTGTAATTTGTTTTAGAAATTGATAACTAACGTTCGTACTCGAAAGAGATTTATAGTACATGTGAAATCGGCGATAACGGAAGATCGAATATCTAAAAATATAGTGAAAGAGGAAGTGTTGACTCGTACATTATCTAGCAATATATTGAAAGAGGAAATGTTGACCCATACGACTAATAAAGATACTCGAGCGATCGAGGCTATTTTAGATTTTCAAAATCGTCAGTATTTATACCCACTAGTATATGAGCCCGAATTACCTCTCACGTATGTATATATAAACATAAATGCAAGTAAAGGAAGGATTTTTTCATTTGCCTCTTATTTTTCATTTACAGGAAAAGGGGGGAAGGCGCACAATTGATTGAACGATGCGACGATATAATAAAATCGACAAATGACAATAGATTATACAGAATTCTAGAGCTTACCAATAAGTTGAAAGTGCTTCTGATAAGCGACCCGATGACCGATAAAAGCGCTGCTGCAATGGATGTTAATATCGGTAATGTTTATTACGTTTTTTTTTTACCTATGTGTGTGCAGAGAGACCAATATTTTCTAAAAGATTTTCTAAAACTATATCTTATATAAATATAATTAACATAATTTTTTAATTAACACAATAAATATAAGTAAAATAAATATAAATATAATTAATACAATATATATAACAAAAACCTATATTAGAAATGATCTTTTTATAAAGTTAGTATAAGACAACGGATGAAAACAAAAAAACTTACAGGAAATATCAAATAGACAAATCGAAAAGTTTATATATATATAAACGTCAATCTAATACAAGTTTTTTTTTTCTTTTTGATCTGTCTATTTGATACTTCCTGTTAGTTTTTGTTTTCATCCGTTATTTTATACTAACTTTATAAAAAAATCACTTCTAATACAGGTTTTTGTTCTCAGCATTACTTTTTCATTTTTACTAGAATAAAAGCTGTAATTCGCGCTAGAAACATTTCTTGATTTAAATTTTAATATCCTTTAACAGTTTACGTAATTAATAGGTAGAATTAGTTTATTAAAAGTAAGATATGTTATCATATAGGTTATTTGGATGATCCGAATGAATTACCAGGATTGGCGCATCTTTGCCAGTGTATGTTACCTAGGGAATCAAAGAAATACGCTTTAAATGATTATAGTATGTATATATCGTTTAACAAAGGCAGAAGTGGTGGATCGACTCATATGGATCATACGACCTATTACTTTGATATACATACGAATAAGTTATGGGGCGCTCTAGACCATTTTGCCCAATTCTTCATAGAGCCCATATTGTCCGAAGATAGAATCGAGGAGGAAGTGATGGCTATAGAATGGGAATATATGAATAATTTGCAAAACAATGTCTATATATACGATCATTTAGATAACTCCAAGGATTTGGAAAGTGTCAAATTCAAATTCGGCCTAGGAAATAAGCATACATTGGATACAGTACCGAAGCAGAAAGGCATTAATGTCTGGGAAAGACTGCTTGAATTTTATGAAGTACATTACTCCGCTGATATTATGTCGCTGTGCGTCCTCAGCAAAGGTAAAGTGACAATTTGACTAGTAAAATTCAGGTTTTATGTTCTGTATATAATGCGCGGGTAAAAATTGGAAATTTTTCGTTCTCCTAAAAAAATACGGACCACATATTTTTCATAGAATCTTCACATAAATTACGTCATACACAATACTTTGTAGAGTGAAAGTACTGTAATAATTGCCGTATGTGTATAATAGTATAATATTCATTACATTTATAACTGATAAGTACATTTTTTATTAATAATTAAATATATTTTTTAGAGAACTTGAATGAACTAGAGAAAATGGTAGTGGATATCTTTTGTAAGATACCTAACAAAAATATTCAACCTCAAAAATGGAATTATAATCTATTTCATCAAGACCACTGTGGCCATACGTGGTACACTGTTCCGGCACAGAATACGAGGGCTTTATTGATAACATTTCCTATATCGTTAGCAAGATTTTTCGATACATTTTCGGAGGAGTATAAATGCAGGGTAATATAATTCTTTCAGAATAGATATTTTACACGCAAATACTTAAATTTAGTAATAAGACACGTATATCGTGTCATGTATTTCAGTTTTTTTTCTTAATTTAATTTAGCTTAATTTCTTAATTTAATTTAGCCTACAAAATATATCTCCTATTTCTTGGAACGAGAAGGAGAGAATACGTTACTGACATGTTTGAAGAAGTTGGACTTGTGTAAATCCATTGTATGCGGAGAACGTGCCAAAGCACGAGGTTACATGTTTTATGATATTCGTCTCAATCTGACCGAAAATGGTCTTAAACATACCGAGTCAATCATCTATCAAGTGTTTCATCATATTTGGCTAATGCAGCAGGAAAATTCAATGGAATGGATCTTCGACGTACATATAATTGATGCAACAAAAAATATAAATATATGTAGAGGGTGCTGAGTAAATCGTCGTGAAGCGATTTATCGTAATGGAAAATATTGATTTTACTATATTGATTTTATTTCACATCGAGCATCACTTTCTCATGACAATCGCGTGACGATTTATTTAAAAAAAAAACGCGCTGCATTCTCTAATTCTCTTATACATTAGACATGAAATGATAAAATTTTATATTTATAGGAATGTGAAAATATTGCGATTATGAATTTTCATCTTAAAGAAAAGCCATTATCGCACTTATACGTGACTTCATGTGTACGTGCGCTGCAATTGTATCCGAAGCAGGACATTCTGAGTGCGGGACATATTATTACATATAACAAGCAATTAATTGATCGCGTATTACTAAGTTTAAACCCAACAGAGGCGAGAATTCATGTAATCTGGGAAAAATATGAATGTGCAACGACTCAGATTAAACATTGCTCTTACACTAATTACAAAAGGATACATATGCCGCGCACTGTATTTAGTTTATCACGGGCTACTAACGATCCTCTCGATATAGAATTCAAGTTATTTTCTCGAAATGAATATATAGCAAAGAGTTATGTCAAACCGATTAACATCGAGGTAAGTTAATGGAAAGAACATATACATTATATATTTGTACATTACGTGGATATTAAAATTAAATATTTTGCAGTTAATAGATAATCCACGATTTGTATCACGAGAGTACACAACACTCTGGTTAAAAACAAGTAACAAATTTATTGTTCCTCAGGCTGAAATGATATTTCTTTTCTCCAGGTAAATAAACAGCTAACGTATATTATATGCTAAATTTTTATGTAGTTATGATTTTCTTTAAATCTCATCTGTATAATATAAATATTCTTTTCTTTTATGCATAACCTAAGAAATATATAATGACAATTTATATTGTTTTTTTTCTTATAAAGATAATTATTTTTTTCTTAGAAGTTCTAATAAATACATGACAATACGTATTGCACACACTTAATTATTTTCATCTTGTATACCTATTGTTGTGTAATGAATATTATTAATGAGTAACTAGCGGTTGATAAATTTGATAAATTGAGAACAATGTTTGATGATGTTACTAATTACTGAATCAGTATAATGAATAGACAAAATACGTAACATTTTCGAGTCAGATATGTATTGTCATAATATTATGTAGCATAATTATTACTTCTTGTGTTACTATTTTATAGCGAATTCAGCCTTGTGGATGCCGCTACTTTCAATTTAATTTATATGTATACTCGTCTAGTAAGCCTTTCCCTCAATAAGTATTCATACGGTGCTCGAATGGCCAATTTAAAATGGAAGATTCATACCAATAAACGTGGAATTCAAGTAAGTGTAGTATAAAAAAATAGTCACGTTTCGGATGATATTATCTTTTATTTCCAACAAATTTTATTCCTGAAGATCTCTCAATTCCGTCTTATGCTTTGTGGTCTATCTATCTAAATAACACTATTAACTGAATCTGTTGTGATTCAAGAAAAATAATTGTTTCATTAGATTACACTAAGTGGCTACAAAGATAAGCAATATGTATTGTTAAAAAAGATTATACACGAAATGCTATACTTAAATATAGAACAAACAATATTTAAAACCGTCAAAAAAGATGTACGTATAACGATAGGTTAAATTTTTTATTAAATCATTAAAAATACAGTTCCTTATGCTTAGAATTACTTACAGTATATTAGCGCTTTGAAAGACTTAGGTACTTATGGTTCGCATAAAGAAGCATTGCATTATCTTGAAGCTATGTTAATGCAGCAACTTTGGATAAACAGCGAGTTGTTAGAGGTAGCTGAAAGTAAGTGTATACTATGAAAAATTATCTATTAGATAAAAATTACCTATTGGATAAACTATCTATCAAATCTATTAAGAGACAATGAAGTTTCCTTCTTGCATTCATGATTCTTTTTCTAAGTAATTTTTTCTCAAATTATGCTACGGTTATATCTTTTAAACATAAACAATTATAATTAATTAAATTATCAAATTTAAATCACTAAAAAAAACATAAACATTCTGATTGATGTAATATTTAAATATTAAATAAATATTCGTGAATTACGCAGATCTAACTGTTGATGAGCTTAAAATATATAAGGATCACTTCATCTTTAATACGAAGGTAGAATGCTTGATATGTGGCAACATAACAGAGAGAGAAGCGAAAAAAATATTTAAACTAATTGAATCAAAGCTGGCAGATGCAAAGTGTAAATTAACATTGTCAAACAAATGTTTGGAAATACGCAAAGTAATCAAGTTAGAGAAAAGTAAGCATGACAGAACATATAGAATCAATTATAAATTAAAATTTGTGTCAACTTCGTATTTTTTTAAATTTTATTAAAATTTATCCTCGTTTGTGATAACATTTGTGACACAATTTGAGTCGTTGGTTCTGAATATGTTAATAATATTTATTTGACAATAATATATGATATAATATACACGATGTTTTGGCATCTCTAACTTATAGGACATCACTTTTTACTTGAAGTATTAAATTCACGGAAAAAATCATGCACATTAGTTTACTATCAGACTGAACGGCAGACAGAATCCTATATATGGTTAGAACTTTTAAAGAATATAATTTCGTCGCAGTGCGCCAATATCTTCAAATTTGATAATCCACTTAACGACATAATTGTTAAAGAGTATAATATCGGCATGACAGAGGGTTTGATCATCTCAGTTGAAGGTGTACATAAAACGAAAAACGTTGAAACACGAATTAATGCTTTTATGAAATTTATGTTGGTAAGCATATCGGTAACATTACAGGTCATTTCTACTTCATATTTTATAACAACATTCTTTGGTTAAATTTGCGAGAGAGAGAGAGAGAGAGAGAGAGAGAGAAAGAACGAGGGAATTGGGAATGGAGAGGGAGAAGGAGAGAGAGAGATTGGATGTTCCTTTTAAAGTATCGCGTTTATCTCTCTCTCTCTCTCTCTCTCTCTTTCTCTCTCTTTCTCTCTCTCTCTCTCTCTCTTTCTCATTCTAATATAAATATATTATATTTCAGACATATATAAATAATATGTCTAAAGAGCAGTTTGAGAAACATAAGGAAGCGTTGATTGAAAAGTATTGTCAGGAACCTACAACGTTGAGTTCGGTAGCTGCTGCTTGTTGGGATGAGATTTATAATAATATATATTGCTTCAAACGACGATCTTTTAACGTGATGCACTTAGAGTCCATGCAACAGGATCAATTCACTAATCTTTATAAGGTAAGCGTATTTTATTGTTATATTCTATATTAAGTGCTATTAATACTTTTCACTCCCGGATTAGGCGTTTCAGATAAAATAAGTTGTGTCTGAATATATTGTGCATTATAATTAAACAGCTTAAGAAAGACAATTTTTCATGAATTAACAATTAAGATACACGAATATATAAATGCGTCATGTCCAATTTGATAATGTCTAAGTTGGAATAAGAGGCATTTATGACAACGACAGTTTATTTATTTTTTTCATTTGTACTATATAATATGTGATTATTAAAAACAACTCAAAAATCAAATCAAATATTAATTTTTTTAACCAAAGTGTATTGAATTTGATTTATTTTTATAATGATACTTTCTTCTTAAATTAAAAATATCAACCTTTGGATCAATTATTTAGGTTTTATGAGAAATATGATATTTATACTTTATATGTATTTTTGTAGAGCATGCTACTTAACGAAAGAAAAATATCGGTACATGTGATATCTACGCAAAATGATGTTTCACGATTACCATATAATATACTATTTCATGGAAGTCAACTAAAATTAATAGCTAATGGCAATGCTAATATCATTAATAATGACAAAACTGGCTATACAACGTCTATGAAGAAAGTTACAGTAATGGACAACATCATGATTTTTCAAAAATTTCACTGTCTTGAAGAGGAACAAAAAAAAATTAATCTTTGAATAAATTATTTAGGTTTTATGAGAAATATGATATTTATATTTTACATGTATTTTTGTGGAGCATGATACTTAATGAAAGTAAAATATCGGTACATGTGATATCTATGCGAAAGAATATTTCACAATTACCAGATAATATACTATCTCATGGAAGTCAATTAAAATTAACCGTTAATGGCAATGTTATTACGATTAATAATGACAAAACTGGCTATACAACGTCTATGAAGAAAGAGTAATGAACAACATCATGATTTTTCAAAGTTTTCACTGTCTTGTTGATTAGTATAGTTTTTATCAACATAGTCGTATTTATTTACTACTTTATTAATACAGTCTGTATCATCCATATATGATTGAAAGAATATGCAAAATATACAAGTCAACAATAATGTAACAATAAAAATGATTATGTATCCAAGGGTGAATTTGTGCATTTATGCATATTGCTTTATATATTGCTATCTAAATTTTCTAGATTTTATAATAAATATAACAAATGAATGTTTGAAATTTTTTCTAAACTGGCATATTTTCAAAAAATAGTGTAAAAATTAAATATTTGTGTATGGTTATATAAAATATTTTATGTAATATAAAAATAAAATAGAATCTCAAAACACAAGTTATTTCCCTTTTTAGTGTTCACACGGCGCTTAAATAAAATAAACTCTTTATTGAAAAAATTACTTGAGAATATAACAAAAGCAACGAAATGTTGAGGAAGCGTGATATACAGTGGCTTTAATGTGTTTCTACAAGAATTAATTTATCTAATAATCTATCTAATAATAGTATATTAAAAGGAATTGAAGCCTGGTGAGCGAAATGACCATGTTGCTGGTCTGTTATATTCGATTCTCCGACATGGCTACATGTCATCCAACGAAATGTTTGGCTTTTTGCCGAATAAGATGCTGTTAGTTTTGTTCAAACCATGTTTATCTTCGAATGTATACATCCATATTTTCTTGAATAACGTCGGCAGATGATATGTACAAGGAAACCCTAGAACATTACTCTATTTAGTGTTCCATGAAAGAAATAACGATTATATCAATCAATTAATATTTCAGCAAATATTTACATTTTAGATTTCACAAACGATATAAAAGAATTAGATTAGAAGTAGGTTTCATTTTAATACTCAACAAGTCCAGATGTAAATATTGGTTCTATTTTGTAAATCTGTACAAAATCTAGAAATCTGTTCTGAAAAGTCTTATTTTTTGTTTTTAAATTACCTACAAGATATTAAAAAGATGTTAATATATATTTATTTCAAATATTATAATATATGTTGCACATATTTTCGTAACAGGTTAAAGTATGAATAATAACAACTTCTGTTTAATAACCATGTTATTATTCATGTGCTTGACGCAGTAAATTGAAAGTTGAATACGACAGCTTAAGCACCTGTAGAAATAACACAGTTACATTTTAGGATATTCTTTTCTCTCGCCTACGGTAAACAATAACAATTTTTTTTGCCTGAATTTATAGATACTGACTGCCACGAACGAATCAAGATTCATCGTAATTATATATGCGCTATTAAATTCAATGGGAACCATTGCACGTTTCATAATAATCAGTAAGGATCGTTTGTTGTCATTGTTAAGCATTAGCCATTCCATCTCATAAATATTATTCATTAAGCGAACACTCTGTAAATAAAGGCGTAATAGAAATCGCATATATATTATTTATTAATTTTTTCATTAATTTGATTTAATTAATAAATTTGGCTAATACATTTTATTGATTAATTATTTTTTAATAATTAATACAATTCTGTTATTATAAGAATAATTCTTAATATATTTCCCTCATTTTTAATGTTTCTTACAAATGTGTATAATATTTTGTACATAGAAGTATATGTACTTTTAACTTAACTTCGTTTCCAAACCAGCAGTAAATGAAAATTTGCGCCAGCATGCAGCCGGTGTAACACATCAGTGGAATAAAGCTCCCGTAATTCTCGGCCATCGCTATTCGATACAAATTCGAACACACCACTAACATGCTCACCGCGAATTGAACGGCAATTATTTTCGTAAACATTTTATTCAAAGCGTTCGCGTATCTGCGGTCAGACAGAAATATCTTTACAGTTTCAAACTTTTCGCGAGTTATTTATTATAAATTTTACAAGTGAACACACAAAATCAAATCAAAATTGATATTCGTACTAGCAGATATATGATTATGCTTCGCGTATAACACGACGAATCTTTCGATAAAGTTCGTAAGCAGAAGGCGTATTTTACTCGAAATCGAAATTAATGGAATAACAAGATCACTTCAAGGACTGACTCAAATATGAGATTGTGATGATGTATGCAATCGCGCAGTACGTCCTGACCCTGCGTGATTTTCGTCAGCCGATGCTCCAAGATTTCGAGCTGGCAGCACATCTGCAGCAAGAAGCCGCAAACTAGACTCTCGCAAGCAACATTCACCAAACCGGAGGCTGCCATGCCTGTCATTTGGTGAGCGAACACGAAAGTGAACGCAGCAGAGCCTGAATAATCGAACGGCACCCACGCTGTGTAAGTCAAATTCCCTTTCGTAAAATCCATTAACACAGACGACAAAAATATCGCTATGACCGTCACCATCACGAGAATCAAATAGCGCATCGTGTTGTTCCTGCAAAACGATCACGAAAACCGTCTTTGCATTTCTAACCGGCTACAAAATGGGTTTATGCTAAGCGAACGAATAACGTGTGTGTACAAAACCAGTAACGAATGCGAATTTCTGTTATACGGCATGAAATATATAAACATTATGCATCGAAAAAAAATACATTATTTCCTTTCATTTTCAAATGATGATATCAAGAGAAATGTCGTTATTTGATCACGATAACTATTATTACTAAATATGTGTCGAAACGTCACTTATAAAAACACACACATCTGACACATCGCACTGAACTAACATTCTAAGATTTGCATTTGAACGTTATCTACCGAGAAATCCACATTTTCCTAGACTTTCCGGACAATCCAATACTTTACTACCCTTGTATAACTGCTTTTGACAAGTCGGCACCACCAAGGTTCTAGTTGAGTAAACATTCGTTTATGTGTTATACATTATGTAAAAGATATTCCCAGTTTATCATTCGGAAAACATTTGCTCATATTTAGTACGTACATGTTAGCGCGCCGACAAGCCAAAAAATATGAGTATTTTCAGTATCGTTCGTACTTAAAAATTAAGTGATAACGGTGCTCCGTTGCTCAGGAGAAATCGATAATTATGCAATCGTTGCATGTACGTTCAGAATAACGGGTCATTGTGGAAAAAGTCACCCCCACACCAAGCAGGTGGCGCGGCTCACCCGCCGCCGAACGATCGAGGGATCGCGGCAACGCACTTCAAAACAATCCAACCACCATAACGGACAAAAGCCGCCGGTGCGACATATGTTTCCGAGTGTTTTCATCGTGACTTTTGCCGGCGTATACAACCAATACAGTGCGCAATACGTCTATCGGTGAGTCGTTTCCTCTTGTAATTTTCTCGTTGATTAAAATATCTCGCGGGTGCTTGGAATATTCGATCGAAGCGTCGTGTATAGGCGGGCGTCAGGTTAGTGTCGATGTATCCAAAACAAGAATATTCGGAAGAACGAAGCAGTGCTAACCCTAGTGGCATACAACGTTGGCCAATGTTAAGCCAATGTGACGCCAATAAAGTGTGCTACTAGGGAAGATGCTGAATCGGGAAGCGGACAACGATATATTATATTTTTTCATATGTGTGAGCACATTTATTGGGCTTCCGATTCTAATGTATTGAATGTCGTGACGTTACTGGTAGGCCCGGATAATGACTGCTCATCGCGTCTCATTAACGTCATTAACGTAAAATTAAAGTAAAATTCATTTACTATTTGTGTCAAATATTCTGTTTGAAAAATAGATCGTACGAGTAATAGAAAGCCGATGAAACAAGATAATAAGAGTACATACGTCACGAATTGCATTTATTTATTCTATTTTAAATAATTCGATTATCGATGATAATTTTTAATGAAAATCAACGCGGCAATTAACGTGTTAACGTACATTTGACATGTTTGCTGAGAATAAAGAATTATTTAAGAATTAAAATTTTAATCAGCATTCATAATTAGTCAATATGTCTGGAAGTTAGCGTGATAAATATAGCTGCATCATTCTGTGATCACTTGTCAATCTGTACTTGTACTTATTTTATACGACAAGACCCGTACAGCACAGAAGCTTGCAATTACATTGCAGGAGCATTGCAACATAGCAAGTTGCAATGTAATATTATTTAATAATACATTGCAGAGAGACATAGAATTACAACACTCCGCCGAAATTTTGCTGTAACATTCCTGAAACATTATAAATATATTTAATATTTTATTTTATTTTTATATGTATCGTGATTACACATTGGAAAAAAATCCATTTCAATGAGCAATGTATTTATGAGTTAACTCTTACACTGATCTAACTTTTTAACATTGAACACTGTCATTTACCTTAATGACTTGATATTATTAATTATAATGTTTAACAAATTCCGAGTATATTCCGAGTTTTTGTTGATCGAGTTTGTACGTTTTGTTTTGAAGCAAGTTAAACATTTCCAGAGCGTTGCCGTTAAACGTATTCGTTAATAAACATAAATTAAAAATATTTGCATCGCGTTGCGAATGAAGTGTAAAGTGCAATCGACGTGAGAAGATGTGAGATGGAAGCTGGAAAACTTCAGAATATGAAATAGTAGACTTGAACATTGGTGGAAGTGGACGGACATCGATGGATTTCAACGTGAAATGGCGAGTAATCAATCAAAATGCTCAAAAAGAGTTATTTCTGTAATGTAGTTATGCAAATTTGCATTGATTTTCAACGAATATAAGTATAACCATTTGTATTATCTTAGGAAAATAGCAATTGTGCCGATATGTGTAGTGCAAGCGATTATCCCACATCGCTCTTTTCGCTGATTTATTTTTCTCGTTTCTTTCGTCAAACCAGCGAATAATTACGTTAAAATACGATTTCTAAAAATTTACTACACCGTACATTTTTGTACTGATCGCATATTGTAGACATCAAATCTAGCTGAATTGCGAATATTCGCCCAGAGCTTGTAAACAACCGAAAAAACAACAAATGTGTTCGAACACTCTATTGGTTATTCGTTACTTGTTCGCGTAGCGTATATCCAAATTATCTCTGATTACTTTCATAATTTAGATAACACTCACCGTATCATTTTGTCGAATTTCTGCCGTATCATTATTTCATGCGATTCATACGGTGTAAAAGGTTTTTCAGTGAGAATATTGATCATTACCGTGATATTTTTATGATCTATCCACATACAAATTTGTTTATAGCCAGCGACGAACACGGTCAACATCATGTATAAAGAATCGGTGAGCTCGTCGGAGTTATCGACGTTCAGTAGGATGTTCATAAATTGAGACATCGCGAACACAAGTAACGAGGAGTTCAGAAATATCGCGTAACTTATATAAATGATAAGTTTGAGCAGCGATGTACATGATGGCGGTTGCCAGAATCCAGCGACTGTGCATATCGCGAGTGTGAATTTTAGAACGCGCATCTTGGCTTTCCTAATTCAATTTTGCTATATCTCATTGACACTTTATCATGTTCGGAATAGCTTTTTTTTGAGAGGAAGAATAAAAAGAGTATACTAAAAATACGAAAAATCATGTTTTAAAAGAAGTGCTATGAATAATTAGAAACCGAAATGATATATTGAGGTTTAAGGCTTTACGTCCAACAAAAACTTACTTTAAACATATACTTTAAACATATACATACATATACATACATTTCTTCGAAATTAAATAATAACTTGAAGGTTTTTATCTCAGCTTTCAAATATATTAAACATTAATATCTGTTTTTGCTGTTTATCGAGTAACTGTGAAACGAGTTCTCAACTACACACGGGTAATTCTCGAAAACGTTATCTGCTTCAACCCTCCCTGTGTCTCTCTTCCCCTCGCCAACACCCATTCTCTCTCTCTCTCTCTCTCTCTCTCCCTCTCTCTCTCTCTCTCTCTCTCTCTCTCTCTCTCTTTCATGTCACGTATTAAGTAAAATACAATCATTTTACAGAAGACTGAAATATTTCTAGTCTTTCTATAGCCCGTCTATAGTTGTCGCGATGTGATTGTATTTCACGCATCATCTTCCTTACATATTTCTGTCATTTTTCTGTTATTATCGTAAATTACGATTGCGATAACATCTTCTCGATGAAATGATATTTTTATGAGTCAAGGTACAGATCGCTTATGCGAGATACAGACTTTATGAAAATAAATTGTTCTTTCAGTAGAGAGACAATGGAATAAAGTAGAAATGAGATGAATATTCAATGTGATAAATTCTGTAAATTGTCCTCGCGCAGGATCATTAACTGTCAAATGCTATCAATAATACTTTGATACTATTTCTCTTTTTTGCGTTTACGTGAAAATATTGCATTCGTTTCTCTTTTCCGCACTGTCCGCGATTTTATGAAATATACATGTATGTACAATATATTTCTAATATTATTTTGCACCAGATTGGTTAGTACTCGGGCATAATTTATGAAATATTAATATCGGCAACTGGTATACTACAGTATACGATAGTGCGCTTTTGGTTGTCATACTATCTATGATATAGTCGCATTAGGAGTCGCATTTTAAATGTTATAACGTATGTTGCACGATATTGAATATCCAGTACATTGCTAAACAAGGTAAGAAAAAAAAATTTCATCCGTTAATGTAAATTTTTCCAAGCAGTAAATACTTTAACGAGCAGTTTAATAACAATGCAAATTGAAAATTTTCTGCCAATATGTTTCTCGGTGTCCAGCTTTAATTCAATACTAAATTAACGTTGTAATTAGATATTAACAAAAGATTTTGATAAATATATAAAATGTTAAAAATTTTATATTTTGACTAAAAATAAGCTGCTTAATACTGGTGATGGAAAAGTTAATATATTTTCTCTCTCTCTCTCCAACGTATTCTGTACATTGCTTTTTAAGCAATAAACTATAACAATATAAATTTTTATTTATCATTCACATTTCACTCATTCGCTTGTTTAAGTACGTTGAAAAACGAATATGAAGTTTTAAGTACCTGCAAAAATTTATGAATATATTTGAATCGTTAGAAATATTTGCAGAAATAAATGGCAATTCTTAAGAAGAATTCTTAGGAAAAAACGGATTAAATTATTCCAAAGTCATCATGTTGGCTATGTATTTCGTTTATGCATTTATTATGAGAAAAGTAATGAAAAAAGAAACGCAAAATTTAGCTTGTAAAACGTAACTATTTTTCTTATCCTATATTCTAAAACGAAATATTTTATAACTTCTTTTCCAGTTTTTTTCTACAAAAAAATTACGAAAGAAACGCATAAATACATCTTTTGAGCCAACATGTTCTGGTTTCTCTTATAACGTAAAATGATCGCCGGTGTGATACTAACAGATACAAACGATTCAAGATTCATTTTGATGACCGCCGCACTAGTAAATTCAATGGGAGAAACCGAGCGTTTCATAATTAATAGAAGACCTTTTTTAATACCGTTGTCTAGTGCCAACCATTCCATCTTGTATATGTTATCCGCCACTTGAAGACTCTGTGAATAAAGACATAATACAATATATGTATTTATGTGTCGCGCATGATAAGCAGAATAAAATATAAATTTAACATGTCGAATGCCCTGTTGATTTGTACTCATGCCGTTCTTGCGGAAACTATCCCCGACCTCATTCGGCTCAAGAATAAAGTATCCTATACCATGAGAATCAATCACTACTCACACTCTTGCAGTACTATAATTTGTATTGCTAAAATGTCAAGTTTAAGATTGAGGTCGGATGTAGTTTCAACAGGAACAGCAAGGATACAAAATCTCAAACTTGACATTTTAACGTACAAATTATAGTATTGCAAAGGTATGAGTAGTGATTAATTCTGCTCGTGGCAAAGGATACATTACTTTTGAGCCTAATAGCGTTAAATTCAATTGTGGGTCGTTTCAAGCGAAATGGGTGAATATACTGAGTTTTTTTAGGTGGTAAAAATTAGTTCAAAATCAATACTTTGTTTTCTTTACCTCCCTTTTCATTTTTTCTACGTGGCCCTGCTAACTTATTATTAAGCTAGAAGTGCCATGTTTTTTTTTTTAAACGGTAGGAGGCACAACATTCTTTTTGGTCATACAAATTAGTACAAAATAAGTATTAAATATTTGAAGAAGTCCGGTTTAATTCTGCTGATTTGATCCTGCTAGATTATAAGAGGTAATAGAACCTCTAAAACACTCCTTTAATTAATAAGTTTATAATAATATGTTAATTATATATAATAATATATGTTAATAATAAGTTTATAATAATATGTTAATTATAATAAACATTTGATTCCGTTATCTATTACATATCGCTACAGCAGCTGCGATTAAACGCTTATCGGCAGTTATTTCCTTCCTCAGTTCTTCTTTATTAGAGCCATATTAATATTCTTACACATTTAATTGGTACTCTATCGACCGTATAATCAATTTAGAAATGTAATATTTTTCAATTATATATCTTATATATATCTCTTAATAATCCATAGTTGTATAGTAAAGTCACCAGGCACTAATAAACATTTGTAGGGCTCAACGAATTAATTCATTTTCGACACATAACGTAATATCGTTTTAGTCTGTACAGATTGCGCATACTTTTATTTTGATCTCATTTCCAAACCAACAGTAGATAAAAATTTGCGATAAGTTGCAGGCCGTGTACAATATCAATGGCATGATATTCGCATCGATTGTTGCCATAGCCAATTGAACTAAAATGGAGCACACTATCAATGTGCTCACTCCGAACTGGAGAGCAATTATCTTCATAAAGTGGCCGTTCACCATGTACGCGTACCTACGATCAAATTAACTGATTTAGTCCGTTCCTACAAAGTAAGTTATTCCTCAAGTTTTTCGGTAAACCGCGGATATATCTTGCGTTATTCATGAACGTTTTAATCATTTCCAAATGGCTTGAGAGAAAAAAACTCAGTCACAAGTTTTCGGAAAAGTAATATCTTAATAAGCTTTAATAACAACTAACTCAAATATACGGTCGTGATGACGTACACACTCAGACAGGATATGTTGTTTCTGAGGAATTTGCATTAACCGGTATTCCAGAATCTCCAGTTGGCAGCATACGTGCAACAAGATTCCGCATATCAGACTATCGCAGGCGACATTCACTGTTGCGCCGATTGCTACGGCTGTGTTTTGGTGAACATACACGAGACAAAACAAAGCGGGCGCCGTATAATTGAACGGTACCCATGCCGGATAAGTCAGGTTCCCCTTCNATTGCTACGGCTGTGTTTTGGTGAACATACACGAGACAAAACAAAGCGGGTGCCGTATAATTGAACGGCACCCATGCCGGATAAGTCAGGTTCCCCTTCATAAAATCCAAGAAGACGGACGTAAAAATCATGCACACTACAGTCGACATGGCAAGGATTAAATACCAAAACGCGGCGTCCCTACGATTTAACCGTGGAAATCATTATGTTCTTTAGTATCTAAAGAAATATTCACAAAGTGTTATTTTGATTGTAGGACTGTTCAAAATGTTACTGTCATAGTAGGTATCCTACAATTATTATTATATACATGAATTATTATATACATGATTAGAAGATGATGATGCTTACTGTATGATTTTGTCGTACTTTTGCTGAATTGTTATCTCGCCCGATTCCACAGGCGCGAAGGGCTTTTCCGTGAGAGCGGTGATTATTTCGGTAACATTTTCGTTACTTAGCCATATGATAATCATTTTATAGGATGCCACGAACACAGCCAACATCATGTACATAATATTGGCGATCTCACTGGAGTTACCGATGTTTAATATAACATTCATGAACTGAGTTATGTTAAATGTGAATAATATGGAAACTAATAACGTTCTATAAACGTTGTATATGACATGTTTAAATGTCGATATCCAATAGAGCGGTTGCCAACATCCAGCGATTGCGCAAATCTTTAAGGTAAATCGCAATACCTTCATTTTATTTTGGCCAAAATGGCCTAAGCTACAGTTTAAAAAGAAATGCAATTTCTTATTCGAAAAAAATTGTCTTAATGTTAAAACATGTATATTAGTACGTATAAATATAAAAATAATGTGTTCGTTTATAAAAAATATATGTTAGTAAAATAATATTTTAACAGATATATTAAAAATAATTAGAAACTGAAATAGCATTTTAAAATTTTAGACTTGATATTAAGCGAAAGTCTTTTTCTGTCGAATATATGCTTACATTTTTCCGAAATTAAGTAATAATTTAAGAATTCTTTTGAATTTTTTAGAATATGTTATTACATGCACGTTGAATTTATTTCACTATTAATTTGAACCGTTAGTACCTGCATTAAGCTACCTGCCAAGTAGTTTCAAAACTGATTTCAACACTCGCGTAAGTTTCGAAATAAACGTTTTCTTGAACTCTTTCTCCTCTTCTCTCTCTTTTTCTATCTTAAATGAAACAGAACAATTTTACAGAAAATCGGAATGCTGCTAGTCTTTCTATAGCCTGTCTATAGTTGTCGCGATGTGATCGTATTCCACGCATCCTCTTCCTTATTTCTGCCATTATCTCTGTTATTATCGTAAATTACGACTGCAAAGACGTCTTCTTGGTGGAATGATACTTTTATGAATCAAAGTACAGATCGTTTATATGAGATACAGACTTTATAAAAATAAATCGTTCTTTCGGCAGAGGAAGAATGAAGTATAGCAGGAGGGAGATGAATATGATAAATTCTGTAAATTGTTCTCGCTCGGCAGCATTAACTATTACTTTCAATGACACTTTGATACCGTTTCTCTTTTTTACGATTAGGTGAAAATATTACATCATGTATAAAGTCATATTATCTACGATCTAGTCATATTGGGTTGTATTATATATGGTACGAACATGTATGATATTGAATTTCCGAGTTGCTTCTCCTTTTTTTATAGAATACAAAAGTAGGGGAAGAAGAAAAATTCAGTCCATTAGTATAAATTTTGCGGAGCAACGCGTCAACATAATTCGATAATAATGCAATTACAAGTTTCCCGCTGGTACGTTTTTTTCTATGCAGTTATAATACAGTTGTTCAAANTTTTTTTCTATGCAGTTATAATACGGTTGTTCAAATGAACATTGTATAGATATTTACATGAGCGTTTTATAAATATCTAAAATTTTTTAGGAATTGTATGTATTGGCTAAAAATTGACTACTTAATATACTTATGTTGGAAAAATTAATAAATATTTGTTCACTCTCTAACATATCCTGTACGTTGTCTTTTGATTATAAGTAATATTAATTTTTATTTATCGTTCACAATTCATTCATTCGCACGTTTGAGTAGATTGAAAACTGAATATGAAGCTTTAAGTACCTGCAAATAATTGACATATATATTTGAGTGATTTGAAAGAAATGCTTGCCGCGANAAGTTTCCCGCTGGTACGTTTTTTTCTATGCAGTTATAATACGGTTGTTCAAATGAACATTGTATAGATATTTACATGAGCGTTTTATAAATATCTAAAATTCTTTAGGAATTGTATGTATTGGCTAAAAATTGACTACTTAATATACCTATGTTGGAAAAATTAATAAATATTTGTTCAGTCTCTAACATATCCTGTATGTTGTTTTTTAATCATAAGTAATATTAATTTTTATTTATCGTTCACAATTCATTCATTCGCACGTTTGAGTAGATTGAAAACTGAATATGAAGCTTTAAGTACCTGCAAATAATTGACATATATATTTGAGTGATTTGAAAGAAATGCTTGCCGCGACAAATGGCAATTCTTATGGAAAATCGGATCAAATTAGCCTAAGAATCATGTTAACTATGAGTTTCATTTATATCTATATTGTGTACGAAACAATTAAAAAAAAATCATAAATATTCCTTTTGCAAAACAAATATTTTTCTCCTATTCTATGTTCTAAAAAAAACATTTTGCGTTTTCTTTCTCATATTTTGTCCTCATTTTTTCACAATAAGTTTATAAAATAATGTATAGTTAACATGATCTTTGGACCAATTTGTCCTGATGTTTCTTACGACCTAAAATAATTGTAGATGTAATACTAACAGATACAAACGAATCAAGATTCATCGTAATGACCACCGCGCTGGTAAATTCAATAGGAGAGGCCGAGCGTTTCATAATTAATAGAAGACCTTTTTTAATTCTGTTGTCAAGTGCCAACCACTTTATCTTATATACGTTGTCCGTCACCTGAAGGCTCTGTAAGTAAATGCGTAATATAGTTTCGCGTAATATACACAGAAAAAAAAAGGGTTAACAAGTTGAATGAAATACTGATTTCCATCAATTGCACAAAAGTTTAATTAATGAACAAATTATTAAAAATGTGGTGGAGAAATATAATTCAAGATATTATTTGCATGTTTTATTGACTCTCTGTTGGCCTTACAGCCAATTTTTTTTTAATTAATTTTTTTTAATGAAAATTTTCATTCATGCATCATATATATGGTATATCTCTTAATGACAAAAATGCGGTAGCGTAAAAATTATCGATCGCCGATAACTATTTGCAACATTCAATGTGTTCATTTATCTTTGAAACGTAGCATAAAATTGCTTTAGCTTGTATAAAATACGCTTACTTTTATTTTAACCTCGTTCCCAAACCAACAATAGATAAATATCTGCGATAACATGCAAGCTGTGTACAGTATCAGTGGCAGGATATTTGCGTCGACTGCAGCCATGGCCAATTGAAATAAATTAGAGCACACTACCAACGTGCTCACTCCGAACTGTAGAGCAATTATCTTCAGAAATTGGTCGTTCACCATATTCGCATATCTACGATTAAATTAGCGGATTTTAGTCTGTTCCTACAGAGGTGTTTCTCTGTCGTTCGTTAAACCGCGGGTAATTCCACGCGTTATTTTGTTCAAATCATTTCTTGTGAAGAAGGAAAATCTACTTTGTTACTATTTGAGGTATGCATAATTTTTAGTCTTTTTTTTCGAGGTCTTGAAAAAACTTTTTAAACATGGAATATTTTCGCGCCCTTTTGTGATTTTGAAATATTAAAATGTTCTAAACGCCGTCTGATATGAGGCAACGATAAATAAAAACTTCAAAAAAGTATAATACATGATGTCTAACGATAAGCTGTATATACAACATTGTATTCGTTATGAATTTTAACAAGGAAAAAGTGCTGTTACTTTGCGAATTGATTCGTCCTGTTCTTGACAAGGAAGGTATATTTCATAACACTCAAACATTGTTTTAAATGTTTTAAAGACGGTGAGTTTGATGTTAATGACTGAGTTCATACTCCCGGTGAACCGCGCAATATGGAAATGGAATATTTGCAAATATTGCTGAATGAAAACTCGGTATAAATGCAAGAAGAACTTGCAATATAATTAGGAGTTGATCAAGCAACAATTTCCAGGCGATTACACGGGATGAGAAGGATCATGAAATTAGAAAAATCTGAGATATTTCCCCTCACATGGCTTATTTAACAGATTTGGCGCCTTCTGATTACTACTTGTTCAGATCGATGCAACATTCGTGGACTGCGTATCATTTTCGAGATATGTTCGAAATCTGAAAATTTGTTGATGACTTCATCGCCTCCAAACTTTCTTCCGCGACGGAATCTCTCAGCTTTCCGAAAAATGAAAAAAAAGTTATAGCAATAACAACAAATATTTCGGTGATTAAATTGTGATTCATATTTCTTAAAATAACATCCAAAATTTGAAAAAAGGAAGACTAAAAATCATGTATATCCCTAATCATTTTCGGAATAATAAAATCATAAGAAACTTTAATAATAACTAACTCATATATATGGTCGTGATGACGTACACAATCAGACAGGATATGTTGTTTCTGTGGAATTTGCATTAACCGGTATGACAGGATCTCAAGCTGACAGCATATGTGCAGTAAAAGCCCGCATACGAGACTATCGCAAGCGACGTTCACTGTCGCGCAAATTGTTACGGCTGTCGTTTGGTGGATATACACAAGGGAAAATAAAATAGGCGCGGTATAGTTAAACGGAAACCATGCCGGATAAGTCAGGCTCCCCATCATAAAATCCACAAAGACGGATGTGAAAATCATGCACACGACAGTCGTCATGACGAGGGTTAAGTACCATAACGCAGTTTTCCTACGAATTGACTATGGAAATCGTTATATCCATATGCATCTAAAGAAGTATTCCAAATTGTTTATTCTGTTAGTTGAAGTATTCAAAATGTTACTTATTACAGTGGGTATTCTACAATTATCGCATCCACGTTTGGAAAATGATGCTTACTGTACGATTTTGTCGTACCTTCGTCGAATCATTATCTCACCCAATTCTGCAGGCGCGAAAGATCCCTTTGTGAGAGCGGTGACTATTCCGGTAATATTTTTGCAATTTAGCCACATGATAATTATTTTATAGAACGCCACGAACACAGTCAACATCATATATATAGTGTTGGCAAACACTTCGGAGTTACCGACGTTTAATGCAACGTTCATGAACTGAGTTATGTTAAACGCGAATAATATAGAAATTATTAACATTCTATAAGCGTTATACATGACATGTTTAAATGTTGATATCCAAGAGAGCGGTTGCCAGCATCCAGCGATCGCGCAAATCGTTAAGGTAAATCGCAGCGTGTGCATTTTACCTTTGCTGAAATGACTTTTTATACGGAAAGCATGAGTAATTACAATATAACGATAGAATTGTACTTTTCGGCACGAAACTTTTCGATGTTTGCTTGCACGTGATCACGGGGATTTTTCTAATCAAATCGCAACGTACAACAAAACACACAAATACCATTTGATCTCGAAAGCGTATATTGTAACGTTTGCACGATGCTTATAAACATTTCATGATTAAATAAACCTCCACATGCATGCGCATGAAATAACGGCGGACGGAGCGATTTACTCGAGCGAGCAAGATATTCCAAATGTCTATAGTCTCACGTCTCTCTGACATTCACTGAATATTCACCGCGAAATTTCGTTTTCCTCTCGTTTCTATATTATTTATGATTCGTAATACCGAAGTTACGACTGACCGACGTTTATACGGAAGTACGTTTTCACATTAATATGACATCGATTCGCAGAACAGCAGATCTAATTGGCACTTGTGTTACGCAACGGAATAGGATACTATTATTTTTTCACCGGAAGAACAGAAAGCAAACATATATTACCCTTCCATTTCTTTCGGTAACCCTTCGGTACCCTTCTATCCCTTCGGAGTNACCGGAAGAACAGAAAGCAAACATATATTACCCTTCCATTTCTTTCGGTATCCCTTCGGTACCCTTCTGTCCCTTCGGAGGACCGTGAATATAGCATATGTCACATACGAGTTCTTCTTATGAAAGATTCACTTGAGGTACTTTTTGCACAATGATTAAGAAATATTTTATTCATTACTGTTGCTACCCACATAATTCATCGTCACGTATACATATCATGTTGCGCATATCGATTCATGATTTCAATTTTCCGGGAACATATACGCTCTAGAAGGGGGAGGACTCGTAATCGTCGACGAGTAGCAACGCAGTTGCATTTCAATCGGGGTTGGAAAAGTCACTTTTTAAAAGTTCTTCATGTCTACATGTACAAAGGAACGATAAAAGTAACGATTACATTATATTATATTCGTTACCGTTACATATCAGGAAAAGGAAATTTCATAACGGTAACGTAAACAAAATAAAGAAAAAGAAGTAACGTTTTTACCAAGCTATTATTGGAAAACGGAACTACAACGATAATTTTCCAACCCTGATTTCAATGCGTAATCTTAAACGTTAAGTCAGCATAGTGATTAATTAAAGTATGCGAGTATAGCCGTCAAAGAATCGTGAATATCAACAGATACTTCAAATGACTCGTAAATATAATTATAAAGAAATGCTTAGTTTTGTAGACTGCGCTATTGCTTGCGCGATTGTATCAATACGTTAAACAGCGAATACGACGTTTTGAGCACCTACAACAATCGTATACAGATTGTTAAAAAAGTCTACCGGTCAGGTGCATGCGTGCCCGTGTTCACAAGTCGATGATCGTTTCCATATCGATGATTGATTTTTTGGATCATTCGATTTGATAACTATTAGATTTTTCATTGATGCAAAGGAGATCGATGTTATATTGGCGATAGATCTGCATGGCATATCAGGTAGAAATTAACCGGGACATGCTTCAAATCTATTATGGCTCTAAATGAGCACGTCCCAAAATAATCCTGCCTTTGTTGAACTTAGTTAGGGTTAAGAAAGACAAATCTTCTTGATATCGTGATAAAATCTTACAAATATCAAATCAAACATTGATTTCCATAGGATTTCGGACATTCACTTGAATTTGACCCAATTTTTCATCGACGTGTGAACAATGTGGGTGGGTGGATCGAATGTTAATTAATTACGCCAGATGATAATAGAATAGTCGTACGAACCGCCACGAAAGATTCGAGATTCATCGGCATGTGAGTGCCGGTAAATTCGATAGGTATCGTCGAACGGTTCATGATTAGTAAGAGACCTTTTTTCACGCTGTCATTGAGCATCGTCCATTCCATGTTGTAGATATTATCCGATAACTGCAGACTCTGTGAATGGAAAACACAACGGAAGTTTTGTGAGAAATTGTTTTATTAACTCATTAATTAGCCGATTACTTATCAGTCGCGTAATTCTCCTCAAATAAGATTGTTTATTTATCATAACAGCGCAAGCGTGGCATAGCAAACAGCGCACTGTTCTACTATGCTAGAAGTCCCAGTAAAAGCCAAAATATTTACGCTCTTTGCGGAAAAAAGTGGCAACCTAGCGAAAATATCTTTGCCATGAACGTCTCTCTGAAATTTGTCGTTCGGAACCGGAGTTAAACTTTAGGTCCCATGTTCCTGACATTTAGTATGGCGAAAGGCCTAACATAACCTTCAAAAGTATTCACTTCAATATAGTCAAACATGGCAACAGGTAAGGTGCATATCCGACACTGTATTCTTTATGAATTCCAACAAGGAACAAATGCTGCAAGAATATGCGAATCGATTTGTTCCTTTCTCGGCAGAGGTGTATCGTACGATGTGTGCGCATTTTGGTTTAAGCGATTTAAACGCGGTGATTCAGTCTGATCGACAAACAACATCCTGGAGGTCCTTGAAAATGCGACAACTATGATTTGGAACAACTGCTTGCTGAGAATTCGGCGTAAACTTAAAAGAAGCTTGTAGAACAGTTGGGATTAACGCAATAAACTGTTTCCAAATACTTACATGAGATGGGTAAGATCGAAAAAAAAGGAAAATTGGTTCCACATGAATTCACTGAAGCCAACAAAAATCAACGAGTGACAGCGTGTCTTTCTCTTCTCAATAAGCAGCGTCGAAAGTCTTTCTTGTGAAAAATCGTTACAGGCGATGCGAAATGGATGCTCTATGAAAATCCGAAACACAGAAAGTCATGAGTAAATCCCTGCGAACCATCAACATCGGTCGCAAAGCCCAATCGCTTCGGAAAAAAGGTTTTGCTCTGCATTTGGTAGGATATCAAGGACGTGCTCTATGAGCTGTTGGAACCGGGTAAAACATTTACTACGGACAGCTACCAACGCCAATTAATCTGTTTGAGTGAAGAATTGGAACAGAAACGCCCGTATACTAGAAAAGGAGAACGCCTTGTTATATGACAACGCCAGGCCATACATTGCTTCCAAAACAAAAGACACCATAATGAATCTTGGCTGAAACGTCTTGCAGCACCCGGCGTATTCACCAGACATTGCTCCATTCGATTATCACTCGTTCCGGTCGATGCAACACACTTTGTCCTATACTCACTTCCAATCAGTGGATGAGGTCCGAAAATGGCTTGACGATTTTATCGTGTCCAAAGACACAACATTTTTCCAAGATGGAATTCATCAGCTGCTTGAAAGATGACTTAAAGTTATAGAAAGCAACGGCGAATATTTTGATTGACAAATTTGTTTTACTTTCATTTTGGCGGAAATTTCGTACCCTCATTTCAATAAGATAATGAAACGTAATCGGCAATCTTAATTAATTTCAAGTCAGATATAAAGCTACCAGTATTGCGGATTATTCTTCTGTTATCCCTCTTGTATCTGACGCATTGAATATTCACACAAATTAAAATTCCTACCGAGAGCTGCGGTGGCTTGTGCAAACAAATGACAATAGTTTTATACTTTGTAGAATGTTATGCGTTAGAAAAAAAATAGTTTATTGAAAACGAGTGGGTCTCTGGATCCAAGTGGATCTGGAAGATCTTTCTAATCGACAAAATTCAAGCACGCGCACTCAATTACAAAGATAGAAATTTCTGCCGACGACTTTTNGTTATGCGTTAGAAAAAAAATAGTTTATTGAAAACGAGTGGGTCTCTGGAACCAAGTGGATCTGGAAGATCTTTCTAATCGACAAAGTTCAAGCACGCGCACTCAATTAAAAAGATAGAAATTTCTGCCGACGACTTTTGCGTTTTGTGCAAACAAAGGATAGTACGTTTGTATTTCGCACGTAAATATCATCTGCAGATTATATATCTCTCACTCACGGACATATTTTTGTTAAGGTAAGGAATTTTTTGTTAATGAAACAAATTAACGCGACTTCGCTTATAACGAATAAAAACTATTCTAAAGATCACAAGAAAGTCATCAGCTGTAAGTAATGGAACGAAATCTCGATATACGCTATTCATCGCATTCCAGAACGTATTCTGGAAAAATTCATATGTAGCTAATCTGATCGATTTCTAAATTCTCACAATTATACCGAGCATAAATGAAATTCGTGTTTGGTAAGTATTTACAATGTACAATGAAGAAGAAGAGGCTGGTGATGTTTACATATACATATAATTTTTTATATCAGGACTAATGGCTTTCATGGCATTTTAATTTAATTTGGTTTTTATGCTAATCAAAACAAGTAACAGACATGTATATGTGATTTAGGAAATTTAGGCAATCAAGTGCAAATGAAGTAAAGTGCGATAAAAAGTATGAAACTGACAAAGCGATCAAAACGTTAGCCGTGTAGTTCTATAAATATGTATGAATATTCAACGAGTTGCATTTATGCAACAAGTCACAGCTTGTACAATGACGGTTTATCAAATGGTATTTAAGTTTGTATTGTTAATTCTCTCTATCTTTCATCTTGAAGAAAGTTTTGTACTTCCGTACCGCTAGCTAAACGGAACCGATAATCTTAATTAATCGTTGCCTCCCAAGTTGGATGTAAAGCTTCTTTCGGGTATAAAGTTGTATGGATTATTCCAAACTATTATTCCTCTTGTATCTGACGCATTAGATTGAAAATTGAATACGACGTTTTGAGCACCTGTAACAATCTTGTTATGGAAATCGAGTTAACTTACTATCGTAAACAAGCTTGTCGAATTGATCGTTAATTGCGTAGTCGAGCCGTCATACTGACCATCAGGAAAGAGTCGAGATTCAGAGGAATGATGCGCGCACTGGTGAATTTTATAGGTAATGATGTCGCGCGATTCATAATAATCAAGAGACATTTTTTCACGTTGTTATTGTAATGCGGCCATTCCATTTTGTAAATATTTTCCGACAATTCCATACTCTATAGTCAAACATGCGGTGAAACATTACATCCTGTAAAGGTTTCTTTTTTTCTTCACGTCGGCTTTATTCGTAAACTTACCCTCAATCTGACTTCATTTCCGAACCAACAATAAAAGAAGATCGCCATTAATGCACAAACAATGCACATAATAGTTTCAATATATGTGAAGTTTGAAGTTGCCACTGTTAAACGAAAGAGCAGACAACACACCACTAAACAGGATCCTATGAATTGGCTGCCGATGACAATTACTAATTTATCGTTCAACATTTCGGCGAATCTGCGATTATACAAAATGTTATTGTTCATTTAAAATTGATCAATGCATCGAGGAAACTTACTCAAATATACGGTAATGATGAAACACACATTCGCGAAGCTTAGCGTGATCATTTGCGATCTTGGACAAACGATATTCTAGGATCTCGATCTGACAGGAAATGTTCAGCAGTAGTCCGGAGAAGAAGCAGTCGCAGGCGATATTTAGGAAACTGCACAATATCATACTGAGTATTTGATGAATGTATAAAAAATAATATATCACGGAGACCGAGTGGTCAAACGGGAACCATGCTTTGAACGTCAAGTTTCTTTTTCTGAGGTCCGTGAATAAGGATGCCGAAGTCATGTATGAAACAGTCAACGCCATAAGCATTAAATAGTAAGTTGTAATAGTTCTACAAGAAATGTAATTATTTTTCTATTTTCTCCTCCTCTTTTTTCGTTAAACTTATTGTAAAATATATAACACACCCAGAATTTATTATTTTTTAAATATTAGAAATATTATTTTATGTACTTTATGCCATAATATACTAACTTTATCATTTTCTCAAATTTTATTTGAATCATCGTCTCGATCTGTTCCATGGGTTTAAATGGTTTCTCTGATAGATTCCCAAGTATAATCGCGAAGTTCTTGTAATTGATACTTATCGTGATTATCTTAAAATTTCCGATCATTCCAACCAGCACCACATACATCGACTCAGTTATTTCGTCCGCGTTGGCCGCATTAAATATGAGATGCATGAATTGGGTTGTAGTGAAGATGAACACTGCTACATTTAATAAAATTGTGTAGGCATTGTACATAATGTGTTTTATCAACGACGTCCACGACTGTGGCCGCCAACCTCCAGCGACTGTGAGAACTGATAAAGTAAATTCTAATACGTGCATCTCGGAGGGTTTGTCCATCTTCCTTTACATAACTCGTTGTCGATATTTCATTAATTATATATATATATATATATGTGTATATATAAATATATATATATATATAAATATATATATGAATATATAGTATTTGTCAGTTGTATATAAGACGCTTTAATAATTATATATATTTGCAAACATTAGCCGCTTACATTCATGCGTGATTATCGATCAAACTACGTTGACGTACGTAAAGTTCTCCCATCAATTCATTGGAATTGTTTAATTCGAATGATATGATAAGATCTTTGTCGCATATGCGAGATAAATCAGAAAGGAAAGAGCTCCCTGATAATCAGGATAAAGTTGGATTTTAAGGGGCGAAAAACACTTGACGATATTATAAATATTTCTTTATCCGAATTCAAATTAGCGATGACTTCACTTCTTTTCAAAATATTCGCACGAAACTCCGTGATATCGAAGATGTATTATTATTAATAAAGAAAGGCAGAAAATTACTATACACGAAATTTCAGACAGTAATATCCACGTATCAAGCGAAAAAGTCAAAATACGTTGTGGGGGAACGGTGAACTCAGAATGTGTATAAATTTCTTTGACTTTTTATCGACAAACGTCCCTATCGGGATTTTTCCTTCGTGTACAACTTTATATCATTATTATCGTAATGTGAAACTGGCAACTGTGTCCCTCGTCGTGAAATAATACTTTTATAAATTACTATCTTTCTCCCGAAGACTTTTATTATAAAATTATTTTTTGTCGATAAATTCTAGTTAGGAAGAGCGCAGTTCAGAAAAAAGGCAGAAACAAAAGGTAGACTCTCTGTATTCTCATTAATAGATTATTTTATCGATGTTTGTTTCAATTGCACGTCAAGCATGAAACATTACTTTAACCCTATTCGTGGTACATTATAAAAAATTAACAAGTCTCGGCTAGCGGTAGACCATACGCATAAAATTGTCATCACGATGATCTAACAGTAACCTTTGTATACACTCGGTTGCAAGGTGTAATTGCAGTCTTTATCTACCATTCAATTTCAAATCATATGATCGTGTATACCACTGTCGTATATTGATTTCTGCGGTACCCTTGGCGTCGTTATTGAGTTTTACTCATGCAATGAAAACGGAAGAAGAGATCACATACTGAAACACGCAATAGTAATATTATAAAGAAGTGTATGCAGCTTTGGATATTATATATGTGTTGTGACGATGCAAATTTTTGCTCGTCACTCAGGCCGTAGCCTGGCCGAGGAGGAGCCGGAAACTTACGCCTTCTCACGAGAGAAGGCGACCGAATTTATTATTTTTGACTGTTGTGAACCGGTAGTGCACGAGACAGGATCCGCGGCTGCTATTTTTTTTTTAGTGTAAGAACACCCCGAGCCGGAACACCGGAGGAGAGGAAACAGAAAGGAATCGGCTATTTGACGCATGGTAGACTCATTCACACCCTAAATTGTCAATTTCCTGAGAGACAGCCTGGGTCTTCCGCAATCAGCTTTTGGGTCCTTTGGACAACTTCCGGGGTCCTTGCCGACTTCTCAGCCATTTTGAGGTTATGTTTAGTCAGAACATTGTTTTAGCTTACTCGGACACAAATATCAACTTAGCACTGGAGTAAAATATGCCGGGAAATTCAAATTGAAATTTGTCCGGATTTAGCTGACGTACCCTGTATGTATTTACCAATGTTATAACAATTTAAACGTTAATTAGATGAAAATTAAGTAAAGTGCGATACAAAATATGAAAATGTTAAAGTGATCAAAATGTTTTCAGTCTTTTTGTTTTCTTTATTTCTTCAAGTTCCTGCAATTGTATAATTCTATAGTTTGTATACTACTAATTCTACAATATACATATTCTGCTAGTTGCATTTATGCAACAAATACAACTTCTACAAGCTAC